GAAGCACTGTGTGTAGGAAAATGGTGGTTCCCGTGGCGCCTTGGTGCCTTTTCCCCCCCGAATTCCCTTAAGAGCTTCCTGCCCCCTTTCCCTCTGACAGACTCCGGTCACTGCTGCCCCGGCCGCGCACGGTGCCGAGTGTTTCCCCCCCACCCCCCCGTTTAACAGCCGCGGACTCACCCCGCGGTCTCTGAGGCGCCGCGTTCCCGTCGGCCCGGAACATCCCGGCCCGGCCCGGGGGCGGCAGCGGAAGTGCCGCCGTCATGGCGCCGGTGTCTCGGTCCCGCAGCCCGCCCGCCTCCAGCCTGCAGGGCCGCGGCCGCAGCTCTCGGTCTCGCTCCCGGTCCCGCTCCCGGTCCCGCAGCGTCCTGAGGCGCCGCCGGCGGAGCCGCAGCTGGTCCCGCTCCCGCAGCCCCGGCGGGCCGCGCTCCGCCGGGCACCACCACCACGGCAAGGCCTGGCCCGAGTACTACGAGAAGGAGAAGGAGGAGATCCTGCGGCAGAGGTGGGCCCCCCGGCGGGCGCGGCACCCGCCTCTGAGGCCTCTGAGGCTGCTCCTTGGTTGCTCTGTTGTTGTTTTTTTTTGTTGCGATACTATTTTTCTCCGTACTGTAGCTATTTGAGCATAAATTCCAGGAAACATAAGGCTTTAAATGCGTTTTTGTTAGATGGAGCGCATTAGGGTTCTCTGACGGTGTTTTCTGTTACAGGAGGCTCAACGAGAGGGAGAGGATTGGAGAGCTGGGCGCACCCGAAGTCTGGGGACTGTCGCCAAAGGTTCCTGACCCTGAGTAAGGCATATTTCTTTTTTATGATACCAATTATACATCGATGTACAGAAATATCTTATCGCACTGCAAATGCAGCAGTGTACAGAAGTGTCTTACCTCTACACTGCTCCCATCACCACAATTGTCAGAAGGTGGTTTCTGAACTGATTTAACAAGATTTCAACATATTTTTTTAAATAATTCCAGCTTAATAATTTACATAAGATATGGCATATTGCAGATCGGGTAATTGCTGTGTTCTGGTTCTGAAAGCAGTTCCCATTTTGCAAATTTGCTGTTTCATGGTTTACTCTGTTGCAAAAATGGGCTCAAAATGTGTAAGCATGTGTTTGGGTATATTGTGTGCATTTGATCTTGAATTACTAAATACTACAAAATAGATTTTAAATAACAAACTTTTTTTTTCCTTTTTTTCAGTTCTGATGAACATACACCAGTAGAAGATGAAGAGGCAAAATCTAAGAGTAGCTCTTCAGATTCCAGCTCAGAAGGTATTTTGCTTTGTTTAAACAGCTTATAGACAATCAGAAGCTACCTACAACTTGAATCTGCCGTTGTTGCTGTCAATAAATTTACTGACTTTGATGGGTTAAAGTCAGTGTGATGGGCTGCAGTTCAAATGAGAATATTTATTTGTGAAGATTCATAAGTACATATAGAGCTAGGTCTTCACCAGTTCTCTAACATTACCTTTTAAAAACATTCTAGAGGAGAAAAAGAAAAAGAAGAAGAAAAGAAAGAAGAAAAAGCGGAAGGCATCAAAAAGAAAACACAGAAAGAATTCTGAGGACAGCGACAGTGAGTCAGATTCTGAGCAGAACTCGAGTGGTAAGAAAAGATGTTTTCTGTTATTGTCTGTAGCCTGAGAGCTCTCCTTGTACCCCTCCAAATGCAAAGTGACGCTTCTGGCTTTCGTTGCACACTTGCGGTGTTCTGAAATTACAGAGCTGCAGCATCAATCCAGTATTCTTTTCTCTCGCCATCTTCTTGGGTTTGCAATGCCTCTTTTTTAAGTGCTTGTGGTCTGGCGTTAGGAAATAGGATTTCTAAATTTAGCGTCCATTAGGCATCTCATGCTAGATGGCTCATGTCAAACAATACTGCAGGTAACTTTCTACTAGTATTTTTTCGGGATTATTTGGTACCTAAATAAATCATGTCTGAGAACCTGTGTACTAAGGCATTCTGGTGGAGGCAGTTATTTATTAACAGTGGAGTAAACTAATCCATTTTAGCTGTGGCTTATCATCTCTTTTTAATGATACATAAACTTGTATTTTTTTCAGATGAAGATAAAAAGAAAAGCAAAAAGAAGAAAAAGAAGCAGAGAAAGTAAGTTTTCAGTGTAACTGTATCTGCGTTTAACTAGAAGGCAGCACTACTTTCTTAGCAGGGTGACTGAGCACTCTTGTAATTAGGGCTATAAACCCAATGGAATAATCTTAATCTGATGGATTGGCTTCAAATGTACAGGACCACACAGCATAGAGGGCTCTTTGCCCCGATAGGGAACCAGTTTCTAGCATTGTATGAAACACACAACAGTGGATATGTTATCTTTGTTTTACTATCACATGTGTTCTGTCAAACACCACCAACAACCTATTTGCAGATATTCGGGCTTTCCGTAGGTGGAAGTTGCCTGGAGAAACTCATGACTTGAGTAGGATTCCTAGCACATCCTTTCCTCTTAAATTTTGGTGAATAGCATGTCTGTCTTTGACTTCGTTACAGGAAGAAGTATAAGAAAAAGAAAAATAAAAAGAGCAGGAAGGAATCCAGTGATTCAAGTAGTGAAGATTCTGATGATGAAACGTTGCAAGGAGAAGATCTTTGGATTGAGAGATCAAGTAGGTTCATATGACTTTAAATTTGGATCGAAACTTCTTGGTGTTCTTCTTGTGATTTTCTTTTTTTTTGTTCAGTGTTGCTGGCCTGATAATTGTTCTGATAACAAAGAATAGCAGGCACAATACTAATCTATTTCACTATTTGTTGCAGAAAATACAGAAGCAGATAGCTTGATTGGACCAGAAGCTCCCAAAACACATGCATCTCAAGATGACAGGCCTTTGAAGTGAGTGCTCTAATGGTACCTGGATCAAATTGAGTAAATCAAGCATGAGGATTTCTGTTCAGAAAGACTGTTATGATACTATGACTTGTATCAGAGAGATGCTGTACCAGGAACGTACTGACAGAAGTAATAGTGGTACTAGTCTTGACCCTGACCTGAATTCAAGTACAAAAGTTTTATGCTTTTTAGCATGGTTTCATAGAAGATTACTTGTTCTTTACTTTGGTAAGGTGATCTTTCCTCTAATCCTCTGCAGTACTGTGACTTTATACAACTTTCATTACTGTTTAACCCGTTGTGAGCAAACTGGTTATTTAAGATGTTCTTGCTATGGGTAGCCATAAGGATGAAACAGGCAAATATACGGGAAAGAATAGGAGAGCCCTTAAAAATGAGGCTCCAGCCAGTAGTGATCAGGGAAGCTGAATGTTTAGCTCAGGCATGCTTTTCCTATTTGAGACTGATTTTGTCTGTTTTGTTTTGCTTTGTTTTGTTTTTTAAAGCTATGGACATGCCCTGTTGCCTGGTGAAGGTGCAGCAATGGCAGAATACGTAAAAGCAGGAAAACGTATACCCCGGAGAGGTGAAATTGGCTTGACCAGTGAAGAAATTGCATCGTTTGAGAGCTCTGGTTACGTAATGAGTGGCAGCAGGTATGGTTTTGATGATGGTAATATTTCAGTAAAGTTTTCCTCTGTTGGCCTGTTGGAAGGCTGCTTCCAGGCTCTGTCTGAAAGCACAGAAGAGTGGGTGCTCTTTGTGTTTGCAGCAATCTATGTTAAACTCTCTATTTCTGTAGATAAATGGTGAGTTTTTTAAGGGCACATTTTCCTTAGGAATAAAAATATTTTCCAGCTAACACACTTAAAATTCTCATGTTTTTCAAATGAGCAGATGCTTGTGTCAGATGGCATAAGGGTTGTGTGTTTGGACAACAGAGGTGATGTGCTGGCCCATCAGTATGGGATAAATCAGTGTGAGGGGTTGGCCATAACTTTTTTTCTACCAGTACAATAAGAGTTTCACTTACATTTTGGTGAGCTAGCAGCCGACTCTGGGAAAGTGAGAATTAGGCACCCTGTTTGGTGCCTGAGAGCAGACACCCTCAAAAGTCAGCTTTTAATTCATCTGTGCTCCTTTCTGTGGAGGTTTTTGTGCAATTTGGGTTCCCTGGTCTAGGTATCTTCATTTATTATCCTCCCAAGGCCTTCAGGCTAGTTAATGGATGGAAGCTGTGGTGGGGCATCACATCCTTGTGCCCATGCTGATGTAGACAATGTTCTCCTCTGCAGACATCGTCGAATGGAAGCTGTGCGTCTGCGTAAAGAGAACCAGATTTACAGCGCAGATGAAAAGAGAGCTCTGGCATCCTTCAACCAGGAGGAGAGGAGGAAAAGAGAGAATAAGATTCTTGCAAGCTTTCGAGAGATGGTCTACAGAAAGACTAAGGGCAAAGAAGAAAAATAATTTCTCATTTGAACTGTGTGCCATAGATTCTACCAGGCAGCAGCTAACCTGTTCCAGTCATGATTTCAAAAAAGCTGCAAGTGCTGCAGTGCCTTTCACCCAACAGGGCCAAGCCTCAGGAATGGATTACTTGTACCAAGGAAATAGAATTACTATTATCAGATGTTGCTGGAGGATTTGTTCACCGTCTGCAAGGAATCCCTGTAAATCAAAAGGCTGCGAGACAGGAACAGGCAGTGAAGGTTAGAGGTGGCAATGTTCTGTCCTCACTTGGACAAGCAGGGAGATTCCACGGTAGGGCTTTGGTATGTGCTGCTGCTAAATGCTATTTTGCATTTATTTTCACTAATGAGAGTAGATTGACCATCACAAGCAAGCTACTAGTGAGAGTAGCACAAATGAAGGAATTCCTAAATTCCTGTTTATGTATTTTTCATAAGTCTTGGATTTATTTTGTTTTTCTCAGAACAGTTGTTTGTTTTGTGGTTTAGAGTACTCCTGTATATAGATGTAAATTTGTAATTTAATACAGACTGGCTTCAGTTACTTTAAAGCAAGCAGATTGTAATTGGGGTATAAAATAACAGTAACAGTAATAACAGGGTCTGATCTTGAATCTCCCAAAGCCCGTGGTGAACTGCTACGTCGCTTGCTTCTTTTTCTGCTATGTTATACATAGGTATCGGAGCGGTGGGGTGCGGCGATTGGAACCTGGATGTACACAGGTGATAACGAGGATGTATCTTTCAATTTACTTTTTTTTTTCTTTTTTGGTCTACAGAAGTGTTCTAGATTAAAGCCTTATTTTAATTCCTGTGTTATTTTACTTCAGTCTGTTTCAGCAGTCTGACATGACTCTCTAAGCTCTGTACTCAGAAGCTTACTCCAAGTAATTCTATGGTGGCTACCTTTGATTCAACTGTGTATTTCCAAAAGTAACTCCCTTAGGCTTATTTTTTCTCAAATGTGTTTAAAAACAGAGTGTTTTCTAGAGGGCTTCCCCCCCCTCCTCACTTTGCGTTGTAGTTTTGGCAGCAGAGATGTCTTGTACATTTGTACAACAAAAATAAGTCCTATAATGTTTGCCCCAGAGTCTTGCAGGCCTGGCATTTGCAAACAGCATTTCTAGCCCAGCTGCCTCTTCCCGTTTACACCCTGGGACCTGGTCCTCTCCCGTTGCACCCACCTATACCTGCAGGGGACTATGACTTAAAACCAGTAGCCAGGTCAGGCCGTGATTCTGCACAAGTTTAATGCTCCTTACACATCCACAAGGTAATCCACAAGCTAATAAGGAAGCGCCGTTTTTTCTTCGTTGTGTGTGTTTATCCTCCACAAATACCAACAGAGCGTCGATGTCTGTGAACTGGAGCTGTTCATTTGAATGCGAGGCGTTGCTTGAGGCTTAGTTTATTTATAATGATATCCTTAAGCCACTTTTCTCTAAATCGACAGTATTCTGGCCTGGAGGAGGGAGTAAAAACGGTAAATAGTAAGAAAGCTGGTCTTTATGCACAGGGCATGCCTGGAGACCTGCATACATCTATTACAAATCAATTATGTAGAAGGAGGTAATCATTAGGTAGCTATTTGTGTTGGAGCGAAGCTAATGATTGGCAGGGTCACTTGGCTTAACAAGACTTTGACAGCTTCCTCTACTCTGTGATATTACTGTGAAATTATTTACATCAAGCTCCCTCTTTGTTTTGGCATGGGACAGCTTGCTAGAACCTCCCCAGTTGTGTCAGTGATGGAAAAGTAACAAAGCATACCTGAAAATCAGCCTGCTGGACTCCAGGAAGAAGAATACCTCCACCGGAAAGGTCTGCAAGAGAGGAGATACAGGGCAGAGTTTGCATTCTGAGCTTAAGGGCCGAAAAAAATCAGTCATTTTAATTAGGTGAGAGCTACTTCTTCAAAAATAACTGTGTATATGTGCAACATTTCTGATACAGATTAGAATAGCTTTTAATTTTGGTTTAAAGCCTCTGAGTATTCTCTTGTGAAGGGAATGACTCAGAAATTACAATTGTAAATTTGTGCTAGGATAAGATCTGTGACCAGTGGCTGTGAACTGGATTGCTGGTAGGGACCCATTGCCACTAAATAGGAAAGCTAAGGTACAGAATGACTAAGCATAGGTTCTGAAGGGGAAAAAAACCAAAAACTACTCCGTGCAATTTTATTCAATTTTTTTTATCTTGAGTCACAAAATACCATTGTATGGGTGAAGACTGAACTGCGGATGTGTGGACAATGTGATTAAATAAGAATTTCAGTAGCAAGTGAAGTAGAAGCTTAAAGCAGGAGGTAAAAAGGAGAAAATGTGTTGAATACTTTGCCTTGTAGAATTAGTAGACTGAAGTCTTTTCTAGAATATAATGTGTGCTTGGTAATGGAGGCAAAAATACGAAATATGATCTTGAGGATAAAATTGCTCCCTTTGGAGTGTAGTTACGGACTTTAACTCATTGTCAATTGCTAGAGGCTAGAACTGTTTACAGCTTTTTCTCATTCAAGGTAAGTGAAACTGGAGTTTTACTACTTTACCTGAAAGGATTGCTGTGTACCATTTCTGAATACTTACATCAGGTTTGATTTTGGAGATCTCTATAATGAAATAGACGCTTGCTGTCGCTTGCGGGATAGGTTTTCTGCGTGTCGGGATGCTCCAGAGAACTCTGTAGTGGTACATCTTGCTGTACGTCAGTTCTTCCTCACAGAGAAATTCAGACCAGTGAAGCCAGCTTTCATGAAACTCCCATGTCTGCTGAACAAACACATGGTGCTAAGATTCCCTTGGTCTGGGAGAGATGACTTAAGGGAGGTGTGAAAAAGAAACTGAAATGCTCTTATTTCATTTTTCACACTATTCCTGTGCCTGTGTAAGATGCCATGACCTCTTGAGTCACGAGTGGATGGAATATTCACTCACGGAAATGTATTCTTCAATCTGCTGCCGTCCTCTCTCCACTGTGAAGTCCTTGCAGGTGGTCCACTGAATATTTTTGGCAACATATTCAGCTTCTAAAACAGACAGAATGCTGAGAATTTCTTCTGGAAAAGCTCTGAAATGTTCTAAGACATTGCAAATAGAGCGAGCACACTACCTTTCTCTTTTTTCTGCAGGGCTATGAATTGTTCTGTTGCACCATGTATCACATTTGCGACGATCATCTCTACTGTTTCATCAAGGGCAGCATCTTCCTTTTCCTTGTCCATTGTCTCCACCTTTAGAAAGATAAATGTAAAAAGAGAAATGCCCCGAGACAGGGTTGGCCTTCAGAGCTGCAGGATCCGTTGGACTAACTCAGGCTGGTCTGGACAGGGATATTGAAACAGCAGCAGGCCCACCTCCCCATGTGATCCCTTGTTTCTCGCACTCACCTCTGCTCAGACCTAATTTGTGCAGCCTTAAGCTGTGGAGGCTACTGTTGTTGCTTCAAAAATGCTCTTCCTGGGCTGGTGGAAGCCTGGAAGAGCGGTTATAGGGGTGGCCGAGGTGATGTTAAGGAGCTGTGCAGCACTGGCAGCGTCGCTGTGCTTGTCCCTTCCTACCTGTGGGAGCCAGCAAGCCCCACGGGGCCTGCCTGGGGCTGCACCCTTACAGCCCTTGTGGTCTTGCCTTACCGCCTCCGGGAGTGTTTGTGGTGTTGTCACGGTGATCTGGTCATGGTGATCTGATCCGGACTCTTGGCATCCCACCAGAACGTACGGGCTGTGTAAATTCCTCTCCAGCAGGACAGGCTCCCCGGCAGGAAGGTGGTGCCTGCAGGGAAACACACAGACTCGTCTGGCTTTGTCGTGTCTGTCGGACTCAGCGATTTGGGAACTGCACCTGCCTCCAGTGCTGTGCTCTGCAAAACTCAGGCTTGGGCTGCGAGGTGCTTGGGCCACAGGGCTTCTCAAAGGGTGATGGATCGCTGACTCTGACTGTAAGTTAGCAAAACGCAGGGGGATAAATCCCCAGCAGCTGCTCTGCCAGGACAGCAGGGGAATGTTAGAGGAATAAAGGGGCAAAGTGCAGATGCTGGTCCTTATGGTCTGACAGGCACTTCCCTTGGCTCATTTGCATGTTCTGCATTTTTTACTGGACTTTTGCTTGCTTGATTTCGTCACTTCATTAAGAAAATTGGGAAGAACTGCAACACGAGAGGCTGCTTTGAAACAGATTGGCAAAAAGGGCCCAGAGGCCCAAGAGTTGTGCCAAGAAATGCAGAAGCCTCCACGGGAAAGCTTGTCGGTAAGCTGGAAAATGGCTCAGCAGCTGATGGGGTCTTGCCCTGGAACTGCTGGGGAGGTGAGGCTCAGGACACAGCCCCTTGGGGAGTTCTGTGTGTGCAGTGTGAGCGAGTAAAAAACATTTATAGCACCTCGTCCAACAAAGGAAGCTTCTTCCTGCTGCTCGGGGTGTGCTCTGTTGGGGTAACCACAGCACAAGGTGTGGTGTGAAATGGAAAAAGCCTCTGCTGAGCCCTGAAAGCTCCATGGGGACGGGCTGCTCTTTCTGGCTCCTCTGCCTCCTCGTTGACGCAGGCAGGACACGTCTCGCTGTAACTTCAAGGCCCTGGTATGTGAAAGGATCATCCCTGCTTAAAGCAGCCCTGCTCTGCTTCTTCAGTTGTTGTAGTTTGGGACTTCTCCACTTGGTGGTAGGTGCTTTGAGCTTGTGTTTCACTGATTCCCAAGCTCTCCTCAGTCCTTCCAACAGACAAGACTTTGTCAAGCTTGTCATGCAGGGGCCCAAACCGAGGCTGAGGACTTCTAGAAAGCACCAGCAGCTGGAAAGCTCAATTAACTGCCTCCTCTTAGAGCCTGGCTGGTGTCCCCAGAGGTGCCAGATGTGCCTGCCCTTGCTCGGTGACACAAACTGTGACATAGAGCTCAAGGGGACTGATAGATGCTCAGGCAAATCCCAGCTAATCACTGGAGAAAGTCAGATGAAAATTGGCCTGACCTTGCTGTCATTTATGCTGTGTGAATGCACAAGAATTCTGTGCCTCGCAAAGAAAGAAGCGATTCGGCGTTAATGCAGTGACACGGGGTCTGCCTTTCACTCTGACATCTGCCAGAGGACAGCAGACCTTTTTTTTTGTTTGCAGAGGAACCAATTCTCTCCAAAGCCCCCAGACACCACACACAGAAGGATTAAATAGACGTGCATCTTTATTAGGGACTCGGACCACAACGCCCAGCCGTGCCGATCCTCCGAAGCGCCGCCGCCTCAGTGTATGTTCTCCAAACCCTGGAAAAGAAATCCACCAAGTGACAGCCGCCTCGGCACCGCGCCCGTCCCCAGACTTTGGGGACAAACGCGCTGCCCTCGGGGGCGCCCTTGGCTGCCCCGAGCTGTGCCGGAGCAAGCCGGGCCCCCCGGCACCTGCCTTGGCCTCGGCGTGCTTGCTGCCCCCCGACAGCCGCTTGTCCCTCTGCATCAGCGCCCACTGGTAGGGGTAGCGGGCCACCCTCTTCTCCTGCGGGGCACAGGGGCGGGGGGTCAGGGCGGGCCTCACAGGGCCCGGGAGGTGCTAAAGGGGAACCGGGGGGTGTGTGAGGGGGGGTCCCGGCCGCGCTGACCTTGCCGCCGCTTGACCAGCGCTGCGCGAAGACGGTGGCGAGGCCGGGGACGCTGAGGCAGGCGGCCATGATGGCCATGCCGGGCAGGATCTCGTACCACATCCCCGCCGCTCCGCTCCCTGCTCCCTGCCCCCCTCAGGCGGCCGCTCCCGGCCTGCTCCTCGCGGCCGCGCCGCTTCCGCCGGCCGAGCGGTGCCCGCCGGGAGCTGTAGGCCCGGGCGGGGAGGGCGGGGAGGGCCGGGGACCGGCGGGCCCGGGCGAGGCGCAGCCGCGCGGCCGAGGGGGGCGCTGGGGTGCGCGGCGCTGCCCCGGGCCCGGCATGAAGGAGGACAAGGAGAACGCCAGGCCCAAGGAGCGCCGCGGGGGGCCCGGGCCCGCCGTCGGGGCCGGGGCTGGGGCCGGGGCCGGCTCGGAGGGCAGGGCCGGCGGCGCCGAGCTGGAGCGGCTGGAGCGGCCCAAGGACAAGAAGGAGGCGCTGAGCAAGGTGCGGCCTGCGCCGGCCCGGCCGTGACGGGGCCTGGCGGGGCTGGGGGCGGCCTCCGGGGGTGGGGGGGAGCCCGACGGAGCCCTAATAACGAGCCCGCGACTAACGAGCCCGCTAACGGCCCTAACGGCCCCGCAGGTGGTGATCCGGCGGCTGCCGCCCAGCCTCACCAAGGAGCAGCTGGAGGAGCACCTGCAGCCCCTGCCCGAGCACGACTACTTCGAGTTCTTCGCCAATGACTCCAGGTAGGAGCTCTCCCCCGCCGCGGGTGGGCCCCCGCCAGCCCCCGCCGGCCGCTCAGCCTTGCGCCTCGTCTCTCCCCGCAGCCTGTACCCTCACATGTTCTCGAGAGCCTACATCAACTTCAAAAACCAGGAGGATATCGTGCTCTTCAGGGACCGCTTCGACGGCTACGTCTTCGTTGATCACAAAGGCAAGTGGGCAGCCCGCGGCCGTGTGTTCGCCTCCAGCCTCGTGTGAGCAGTGTGTGTGTGTTGGCTGGGCTCGAGGGGCGGGTGTGAGCTTCCCAGCACACCACCCCTGGTTTCTTGGATGCTTGTTTTCAGTGCCTTAAGTGAACGTGATGCCCTACATCAAAAAAAAAAACAACACACCACCCAGGTCAAATATTCTGTTCTTTGCAGAAATTAGTCTAGGTTAATTATATATGTAAGTGTGCTAAATCTAGTTAAATGTGGTTCAGGGTAGTACGGTATCAAAATCATTGTCGTGCATTGTCATGCCTGAGTACGAAGCCTGCGGAGTGCCAGTGGTGGGTGTTGTCCCTCTCCAAAGAAAACGAAACTGAGGCTAGTGCTGTCACCCTCTGTGCCTCGCCTGTACTGTTCTGTACGTTTCTAGCAATATGACCTATTTTTGGTTGCATTTTAATTCAAATTAATATCTTTGGCACTTCAGAACTGAGTGAGCCATTTTTGTTCAGTACAAGGAACGGCTTGTTCCCTGCAGTTGTGGAAGAGACTGCTCTCTGGAAACATTAATCTTGTCAGAAACAAAAATTTAGTTTTAATTAATTGGGTAAACACCCAGGTATTTAGTCACTACCTATCTCTTTTCTAAATACTCGTTAGGTATTCAGGACAACTCAGTTTCAGTTTTGTAGCTTAGAACAGTTTATGGTGGGTAGCATTAAAACTTGTTAGTCTGTTGCCGATAGACCTTGAAAATCGCATATTTAGTGGAAGGTTTGTCAGGAGCAGTTGTCTGGGTTTCAGTAGGTGAAAAGTTTCACATTGATCTTTGTTTCAAGTACATGCATTTTAACTTTCATCCATCCAGGTGTTTTATGTGACACAAAGGTCTATTCTTGAGAGCCTGCCTTATTTAGAAGGGTTGCATGACCAGGTTCTCACAGTGCCTGTGTGTGTTGTGTTTTGTTTTTGTTTTTTAAAAGATGTTACTTTGCAGTTTAACAGCTTACTCGTTGCCTTTGCCATATCAAACAACAATATTAGATTTATTCAGCATTTATGTTGCAAGATGAAACCTTAAAGCCAGCCTGTAACGTGTGGTTGTTGCATTCTATTGCATGCTGCCAACAGTTGAGGTTTGCCTCAGTTGCCTTAACTTAAAATGTTCCCTTCTGCTTGCACAGTGAATGCATAGTCTGTGGGATGAGGATGCTGTATGGTACAGTGTACCTGGGGTGGCTGAACTGACAGCTGTGGGCAATCTTAAGTCTTGTGCTTCTTTGTTGTTGTGGGTCTGTGAATTTGGTAGTATGTTAACGTTGCAGGAGGGTATGTTTCATGAATTTTGCTGTCCCTAAAATTACTTTGGCTAAGCAGCTTTTAAAATGCAAGATTTTTTTTTTTAATGTCATTGCAGTAGTCTCTTCTAGTATTGCATGTTCCCGGTGAGGCTCATCTTCCTGTTTTAGCCACATACACTGTGTTCTATTTCAAATCTGTTCCATATCTATTTTAATGTATTTTTTCCTCTCCTCTTAACAGGTCAGGAATATGCTGCCATAGTAGAGTTTGCACCTTTCCAAAAAGCTGCAAAAAAGAAGAGCAAGAAAAAGGATGCCAAAACTGGGACTATTGAAGATGGTATAACAGCTAGCTAATTTGTTTTGCATGTAGAGACTGAAGTCCTACCAGTAGCTGGAATATAACATTTTCAGTGTGACACCATAGCGTGTTGAAAGAATGCTTAATTATATGTGGAGCTTATTACTTCTGCTTTGTCAGCTGCAAATTGGTTAAATGTGATTGTCCCAGACAAACTTAATACAGCAGCTTATTTGAGGATTGCCAATTCATGGAAAGGCACGATATAAACAACACAATTTGTACAAACCTATTCCAAACTTCCAGCAGTGAACAAGCAGATTCTTTCTCATGCTACAGTGCTTTTTTTTTTTTTTTTTTTCCTTTCTCTCCCCTTCCCCATAGATCCAGAGTACAAGAAGTTTTTGGAAAGTTACAGTGCAGATGATGAAAAGTTAACCTCCACTCCTGAAACCTTGTTGGAGGAAATAGAGGCAAGAAACAAAGAGCTAATAGGTATGGAAATCTATGTACTGTAGTTACATTTTCCTAGAGCACAAAGAAACATACGTGGTGTAATTTGAAGCTGTGATTTCTCAACCTTGAAGAGTCTGTATTCTTTTGTACGTTTGTTTACTTGGTATTGTTAAACCTTTAGGCTAATATTATTCAGTGTGCTTTCTTTTGCTCCTATGATCTAAATTCACACCTTTATTTGAATTTTATAAGATAATCTTCCTGTTTTAAACTGCTAGTCAGATGTTAGTTAGTCAGATAAGGCTGTGAAGTGGCTGCATTTCAGGGAGATGCAGTGATGTTCCACGCAGGCACCCGAGAAGTTCTATTCTGGTTGAGTAAAATGGACCAGAAGAAGAAGAATCTTTTTCTTAAGCATGTTAGCATGTTTACAGGTATGTTTTTTCAAAGTGAGGGAAGCTGAGAAAATCATAATGCAGACTAAATATCCCTTTACAGATAGGTATGCTGGCTAACAGACTAATATCCAAATTCATTGAATTGTAATTATTGTCATTGTTTTAGGATAGCATTGGAATACTTATTGCACTGCTGTGTTGTGTGAGAGAGATTGCATATTCCATAAGGCTTCTTCATAGCATGTAGAGTTTTGCTATAGGTATTGCAGTATTGGATAAAACATCGTTTACATTTGCTTTCATATATTCTCTAGCTAAAAAGACTACTCCCTTATTGAACTTCTTGAAAAATAAACAGGTAAGACTTCTCTCCAGAATCTTCTTGTTGCCTGCAGATGCATTAATTTGCTCCTGTAGAGTATGAATATGTATAATACGTATTTTGCAAGGTATAAATCGGTATGTTTCTGCTCTTCCTTTTAAAGAAAAAGCTTTCAGCCCAAATTCCTTGTTAATATATGGTTCACGCTATTAGAGTGCTGGCCTTTGTATTAATGGTGGCGCTTTATGCACGTTCTGGTCACAGCTAGCAGCGTGCTAGATGTATCTGTGGCGTTGCAAAACCAGATTCCGTTTTAATGCAGTTGTGGCTGAAGTCCTTGTAGATGATCTTTCTCCTGGCACGTATCATTTTAACTTTTAGCGATGGAGAAAATCACTGATCAGTCAGATCTAGCTAAAATCAGAATGATAAAGGCTAAGTCTAATGTTTATTTCCTTTCATAAGTCTTGACTTGTACAGTTTTTAAAAAACAAAACCACAACAAAACTGCTGCAAAAATTCAGGTTCACAACAGTGCGATAAAGACAACATGTTTTTCTTTAATAATAGGGACAGTTTTGAAATGAGTTATTTTCTCATGGAATATTCCATTGCTTTGTAGCAAGATATCCTGTTGGCCTTAAAGGGATGTTTTCTATAATAAAAATGCACTGTTTCTCTCTCTCTTTTTTTTTTTTTTTTTTTCAAACACAGAGACTGAGGGAGGAGAAAAGAGAGGAGAGGAGGAGGAGAGAACTGGAAAGAAAAAGACAAAGAGAAGAAGAAAGAAGAAAATGGAAAGAGGAGGAGAGAAGGAAGAGAAAAGAAGCAGAAAAACTGAAGAAAGTAGACAGATGTCCAGAAAAAGAAAGAGACAGATCAAAAGAAGAACCAAAGATTAAGGTCTAGAACAGTTCTTTATTATAAACTGTTACATTCCCTTTCCCCTATTATTTGTATATCAGTCTTTCAAAATGTGCTTTGAGTATTGTGTGAAGAAACACATGGGTTTGGTGTTAGCAAATGACCACTTTTTTTGTAACACTCAATATTAGGCATTGTAAAAGTTAACATGCTGTAATGCTTCATAGTACTATTTAAAGCTTTTGTCATGTGACTGTTGTACATGCTGTGGTGAACAGACTCGTGAATTTACTATGGAATAGAGACTATTCTTAAGCTTCCTAACATGGCGTGTTTTAGGAGAAAAACCCTAGCCTGCTGTGTGGATTATGCTTACTCATACACTCCAGCTTTTAGAAGTACTGCGATTTGCAGTAATGTTAATGTATATTTCCTACTGGACTGTGGTTCCTTTGATGCAATTTCGGTGTTGTGCCAAACAGTATGTGTTAGAGTGAGCTTTTTAGTTGAGACTTCTGTTTTCTTTGTAGCTACTTAAGAAGCCTGAAAAAGATGAAAAAGACTTGGAGAAAAAGGAAAAATCCAAGAAACTGGAAAAAGAGACTCTGAGGGAGGAAAAAAATGCGAGTAGTGCATCTGCCAAACGATCTGATGGGGAGACAAAAGAAGAGAAGGCAAAAAAGTATTCTAGTACTTGCTATAAATATCTATATGTATATATAACTTGTTTCCTGATCATACTGAAGGTCAGGCTGCTCTGCCATGACCGTGTTCTGAAATTCTTTTCAAATCATTTTCCTGATAGAAGGCCTGGGATGTGTTCTCTGTGGCTGTGCACATCCCCATGATTACAAGAAGCTGTGTGAATTACCCGGTATTTCTTCACTAGTGGACAAATTTGAATATTTTTGCAACTTTCTCTAGGAGCTCTGCAAGAGAAGCCCAGGTGTAGAGGACCTACAACAGGCCGCGGGCACAATCCTTGCAATGAGAATTATAACCGTGGCAAGAGGAGAGGCATACTCCAGTTACTAGTCCCTTTTAAGTCTTGTAAAAGTTCAGAGTGGAAAGTCTAATTCTCAACAGCTCCATGATCTGCTCAAGGTTCAGTGCTGCCGTGTGAGGCAGAGAAATTGAGGTGCTTTCCAAAGCCAGATGAAACTCAGCCAGCTTTGTGAGCAGAAGGCTAAGAAATGCTAGCACTCAGTGCCATCTCTGGTTACCGTGCATGACTCGGGTTAGGACAGTTTCCCAAAAGCTCCCTAGAACCTACCAATCTCTCGTCTTCATATTGCAAATTTACACCAGTATTACATTGATCTCCCAGCTCTGTTTGATGAATCTTTTGAGCTTCATTTTCAGTTTTGTTTTCATACAGATCAGAAGATGAGTGTGTAAAGGACTACAGGGACCGAGATAGAGATTTTGAAAGAGACAGAGAATATGAGAGAGCACAGAGGGAGAAACTGAGACGCCAGGAAGAAGAGCGTCGGAGGCAGAAAGAGCGCTTTGAGAAAGAGAAGGTTTTTAGAAGAAAAGAGGAAGAGGTGAAAAAGGAAAGAGACTTGCTCAGAGAAAAGGGAAAGAAAAGTGATCTTACAGACTTTACCAGCGGCATGGACAAATCTGAGAAAGTAACCAAAGACGATAAAAAAGAGGATACAATTAAGAGGGATCGTATCAGAAACAAGGTGCTGGGTTTCTTTAAATTCATGTGCTAATTCATAGAGGCCAGTATGTATTTTAGGATAAATACACTTAAGGAAAGAACCATGTGGTTTCTGTAAAACTTTTCCATGTTAATGTAACAAACTTTGCCCCTGCTAGAAAGTTTCCACACGTTTACTAAATTTTGTGATTTTTTTTTTGTTCTGTCACTGTATAGGAATTAAGCCAAGGTAGTAGGCTAAATTATAAATGCACTGATTTCACTTTATTTGATGATTTTTGCCAGCAGGCTTGATCCTTAAGGTGTCAGTAGAGCATCAGTAATTCTATTTGTGTATCTTTGCTGATGCTATGCATGCCTGAAAAGACATCTCAATATGAGAGTGACAGAACAGTTTCCTCCAAAACAGGGACAATTCTGCTACATGCAGAATGACAGAATAAACTCATGATAGTATAAACTCAGGGTATAATGTCTTGAGTTCAGTTTTGTTTGATCTGGGAGTCTGCTTTTGCAGCATTAGTATATAAGTTCTGTGTCACTTGAGACATTATTGGATACAAATGAAACTCAAAAGTTTTGGAGGAACTTTAAAGTTGGTCTGTATTCTAAGAGAGGGGGAACTCGTCTGTCAAAAGTAAATAACACATAATTTCAACCATGAGCAGTGTTCTTTGTGGCTTGAACAGGAACAGCCTTGATTCAAGACAATTGAAGTTGCATTGCCACTTTGGTGGAATAATAGCTTAGAACATCTTGAAAAGTTTGAAATTGAGCCATTTTTAATCTTGCTGATGCCATAATAACCATGAGAGCACTGAGGCTATGAAAGGGTCTAAATAGCTTTGATTTATTTCAGGATCGTCCAGCAATGCAGCTGTACCAGCCAGGAGCCCGAAGCCGAAGCAGATTGTGTCAGTACGAAGACAGTGCTGCCAAGCCGACAGATCAGGGAGCGGATAAGAAACAAGAGAGTGAGACCAGTAACATGAAGGAAGAGGAGTGACTAGCATGCAGGCCTTATGTGTTCTGACTGTCTGTGCAGCCAAAGAGCATGTACTACGCAATCCAGAAGTGCCTTCGAAGCGAAGAAGGAACAAAGGAAGAAGAGGGGGTGTTGCGCTGTTGGATGTTTCTGGCTAAAGAACCTCAGTTGTAGATTCGGAATTTGAAATGTGTTCTCATTTGTATTTTCAGTTATTTGAGTTTATTTTCCCAGCATCTAACTACAACAGAGAAGAGAAAATTTGCAAAGTAGAAAGACTTTGTGGCCTTAAGTTTGATATTAAATGAGTCATGCAGTCAGGAGGAGATGACACCTGGATCTAATGCCAGAGCTTTACTGTAAAGCAATCAGAGCCAGTGTTTGATGCACTTAAAGCAGAGCAAGCTTGAAGTGGCACGGAGTTAATGTGGGTGTTACTGTGTCGTGTGGTGCTCCTACCTGAGACTGTGTTAGCTAAATTGTATTGCTTCTAGCACTGAGACAGGTATGCAGGCGGTGGTGGCTGAGGTACCAGTGAAGTAGAGCCCTCTGCTCATGAAAAGAGAACATCTGGAATTGCATAAAGACCTTGGGAAGGGAGAGACCTTCCTGAGGCCTCTGAATTAATTAATTTATCCAGAGAACCACTTGAGTTGGAGTGTATGAATAAGCTGGCTTAGTATTGGATACTTGTTGACAAATTCTCATGTAAAGTCTACCTACACTGAAATGCTTATTTTTAATCACCTGTAGTTGTACGTCGGGTTCTTTTCAAGCGTTCTCCCTTGTCTGGAGCCTGAAACACTCCCGCACTCCTGCCCTCTCGGTGCCCGCTCCCCTTCCCCTCTAATTCAAAGTATTGTCTTACAGCCGAGAAAGAGAACTTCACCAGTAGCAGCTCCTTTTAAGCTCGCGAATTTTAGCCATAGCGATTTTTTTGTACCGAACCCAATAAACTCGCACAAACTCTTGCCGCCGCCGTCCCTCTCTCAGCTCCGCCGGGCCGCCAGGAGGCGCCGGGCCGGGCCCGCGCCCATCTTGTCGCCGCCATCGTCAGCGCCTCCTCCCGCTCGGGCCGCCCCTTCCGCCGCCGCCATCGCCGGGACGCCAGGCACAGCAGCGCCATGGTGAGACCCTCGGCAGCTATCCGCCGCCATCCGCCGCCCCGGGACGGGACGGGGCTCCCCCGGGGGCGGCGGGGACACGGCGGGGCGGGGGGCGCCGCATCGGGCCATCGCTCACCGCCCGCGAAATGGCGGCTCCCTCACGGCGCCCTCATAGCGCCTCACGGCACCTCACAGCCCCCTCACGGCTCCTCAGAGCCCTCATGGTCCTTCACAGCCCCCTCCCGGTCCCTCACATCCCCTCATGGCCCCTCCCGGTCCCTCACGTCCCCTCGTGTCCCCTCAGCCCCTCCCGGCCCCCTCCCGCAGCACTAATGGCCGCTCTCTTGCAGTCGTCCCACAAGACGTTCAAGATCAAGCGCTTCCTCGCGAAGAAGCAGAAGCAAAACCGGCCCATCCCGCAGTGGATCCGCATGAAAACAGGCAATAAGATCAGGTAACGAGGCCGGCCCCTGTGCTCCAGGGAGCTGCACGGGCCCTAAAGCAGGCGGCCTGTGCGATGTGGGATGGCGTTGAGCGTGTCACAGCCTTCGTTTGTGCAAAAGTGCAATTTCATGGGTGTGACTACTGTACAGGTATTTTTGGGGCAGATCACTGAGTTCTGTTGTCCCACTGTGTTTTCTTGAGGCTGTGTGGGGCTCCTATGTCTTGTCGTCCTGTAGCAGTTATTTTATTTCAGTTCTCTGTCAGTAGCTACAGATGTTATCATGAAGACATAAAAGTGTGAGCTGAAAACATGGATGATTTATTCCAGAATTTTTACTTGGCAGCCACTCTGCTCCTGATGCTCCTCATCACCTTTTCCCTCTCTCCCAGCCATCTGTCTTTCTGCATCCTCAAGAAACAGTACCTTGCACAAAGCAGGTGTTCTGGGATGGATATGGTGTGTAGGGAAGCAAAGGTCTAGTTGGGTTTAGGGATTATAAAACTGATGGTGTGAGATCCTTGACTCACTGCTGTGGAATTCGTTTGAAGGAGTTCCACTGAATTTAAGGAAGCGTGATAAGAGAATGCTGCAGAATACTAGATAAATGTGAGGTGTACGAAAGGTGGTACCTATCCAAGCCCTTTGGCTTACAAGTATTGTCTAGTCACGTGCAGCCAGCTCTGTAGCTTGTATGCTTCCCTGTCTAGACTTCTTAGAGGGAATAGGATTCTTTATCCCAGATTTATTTATTTTTTTTTTCTAAGTAGTGAGGAGAGTGACAGTAGCAGTGGCTGCCACAGGCAGTGAAGCAGCACACCCAGTTTCTGTCCTTTCGCTTTTGTTAACTCATTTCTTTCTGGGAAAGATCATAGTTGTGCGCCCAAACTCTGTCTTCCAGATACCGACTTAAAAAGGGCTTCTGTTTTGGCTGAATTGCAGTGCTTTGAAATACCGTATTATGGGGCAAAGCCATTAATTTTTGTCTTCTCTTCAATACCTCAGTCGTCAGTTTTATTCCAAACTGTGCTAAAGCAGGCTGCAATTGCAGTGCTTCATTCTGTGGGAGTACTGCCATTTCCCTGCTGAGATTAACTCTGTTAATGTTGTCTTTGGTTTTACCTACACATTGGTGAAACCGTTCGTCCTTAACATGTACATCTCTTGTGGCGCATAAATTAGTATACAAACCTTCCTGGAAGAATCATGGAATCACAGAGTGGTTTGGGTTGGAAGGGACCTTAAAGCCCCCCAAATTCCACCCCCTTGCCATGGGCAGGGCCACCTCCCACCAGCCTGGCCTTGAACACTTCCAGGGTGAGGGTGTTTTCTATATACTGCTCTTCCATGGTTTGGACAAAAATGATGATTTCTGTTTTGGACTATGAATTTGCATTAACAAGATAGCATTGATTATCATTGGACAATCAATAAACGTTTTGTCTCCAAAAGACCAGGCAGAATACTGATGTGCCAGTGCTAATGCATCTCTCTCTAGACATGTTTCTTTCTCAGAAACCCTTTCTCAGGGTTTAGATTCTGTTGCAGTAGCATCGTAATTAGTGAATGAAGAAAATAAACTGATGGAAATTTGATTAAAAACCAGTACAAAGTTGATTTTTATTGGCAGCTTGTGACTGTAGCATGTAAAAAAGCTTTCTGTCCTTTACTGCTGAACTAATTGAAGGTGTTTTCGGTCCACCTGGATCCTCAAGTGTGCATTTTGCTAACTTCCACTGCTTTTGTCTTAGGTACAACTCCAAAAGGAGACACTGGAGAAGGACCAAACTGGGCTTGTAAGAGAGACTGTCTCCTGGGAACTCTAATAACACTTGTCTTTCTGCGTCAGATTGATCCACCCCCACACACTGCTGGCCATCCCCTCAGTCATTCCTTCTGTAGTGTTGGACTGCCCAGTTGTTTTTGTATGAACTGGTTTGGGTTAGTGATTGGAATGGGAATAATCTTGAGGTGGTTGCCATCTGAAACATGAAGACCGTGTTCTATTAGTGTTCTTTCTTTCAGGCATCCTAAGTGTTGACAGTGTATGAGCTTGTTAATAAACATGGACCTGAATGACCTGGCTGAACTGATTTCATATGTTTGTGGTGGGATAGCAACACAGAGAATAAAGGCAACGTTACTACGAACATAATCGTACCTAGCGGGAGGAACCATCAGCTCTTTCCAGATAGACTGGGTCTTCTTTTCACTTACTGTAGCTCTTAGCAACGCGTACCAATTTTTGAAGAAAAGGGGTAAACATCAAAACTGATTTTAAAACTGTTAGTTTGAAGAAAATCTTTTATTAGACAAATGGTATGGAAAAAACAACAGTCCTTTGGAGACAGAGGACATCTGCGGGTTTGAAAAAGGCAGACTTTGCGATCCACAGCTTGAATGGCTGCAGTAGCTGAGGTATCAGTGTCTGATCGGTTAACACCAGAGAAAACTGGGTCACATTTTGGGTTAGTTCTAGGAAACGTCACTAAGAAAAGTAAGCAGCATTGCCAGAGTGTGCTGAAGATGTTTCTGCGTATCTCCACCGGTTTCATTTGATGGAGCTGTAAAACAAAGCGCGTTGGGAAGGTTTCTCTGGGTAAGATGGCTTCCTGCGTGAGGGTCTCCAGTTACCACCACGCTGACATGGGTGTCCGCAGCGGCTGCCTTCTGTCACAGCTGCCACTTCCCCAATACCTCCCACGTAACCCTTTTAAGCACCTGGGGGTAGACCACAGTATAGCACAGCTAGGCCCTGCTGCTCGTTCAGGTGATAGAGTAGGTATCAATCTGCTGCTTGGTTTTGTTTGGAGCTCCGTTATAGCTGGATCAGGTTGGTCTTGATGCCAGCCACAGGGGCAGCTGAATTAAAAAATTCTCGGCAGAATGACAGCAAGGTGTGCTCAGAGAGCGAGTTACCAGCTGTTTAGAAAAGAAAAGAGGAAAGAAAGAAACCGAGCAGTTGGCTCCCCAGTGGCTGCATTTACTACTCTCAGGTGTGGCTGCAGCAAAGCCCCTCCTGAGGCCGAACGCCGCTGTGAAGTGCTCTGGTGCTGTTTGGGTTCAGCCTGCCGCAGCGCCTCAGGTGCGAGGTGGCAGCTTCCTGAGGAAGTCTGCCTGCCACACCTGCGCTTTCATGTCGAAGGTAAATAACGCTGGGCTGCAGCATATGCCAGGCGCACGGAGATGCACACTAAATGTGCTTTGCTCAGATCTCGTGTCAGTCTCTCCCTCTTAAGTGGTGTTCTCTGAGCACAGGAAGGCAAGGCTGGGATTTTTAACAGCTTCAGGATGCTTTGGGGTATCTCAGCTTCTTTTCCTGTCTGATAACAGTCTAGATAACGTCTAGTTTCTACTTTATCATCAGGGGGAAGCGGTAAGTCACTGCAACAGGAAAGCAGCAAAGAGCGTTGCCAGAGATGTTTCAAAATGCTTCAAAGTTGTTTCAGCAGATGCCCATGTACTTCTTCTATCGTGGTAAAAAACACGTTTACCCCCATGTTTGTTAAAAAATTATCTCTGTGCTCTTCTCTAAACACAAGCACATGTTTAGAAGAGGCAGCAGTGATGAGGATCGAAGCTCGGCCCTGGAGGCCTGCTCGCTGCGTTGCTGTGCCTGCACGGCCAGACAGAGCTGCCCCCAAAGTTTCTCTTTAATTGTGTCCATTAAGACCTGGCTGATGAGGGGAAAAGTAATTTTTATGGACCTGAGAACGGAAAGAGACATTTTTCTACATGGCATTTGTGGGAAAGCTTTCCTAAGCAATAGATCAAACGGTCTATTACTGCCCCCCTCCCCCTTTCTGTCACTGCCGTGCTATTTTTATCGGCTGGAGCTGCTTGGGAAAGCAGCCCCTCGTGGTGTCCTTCCCCATTTGACTGAAACTGCATTTCAAATCGGGCATTAAGGGGTAATGTGAGGAAAATTCAGCGCAGATTAAAATTTGGTTAAAATGAAGCTTCTGGAGAACCTTAACCAACACAAATACCTCTGAGATAATTTCTTTTGTAGCAGCTCCCTGCCCTTTCCTTCCCTATGAGACTTTTGGGGGGCGGATCAGGGATTTCATGCTAACCTTGGACTGGAACAGGGCTTCAAACCAATGACCAAAGACAAGCAAAAAAAGCTGCCTTTAGGGGGTTTTGGTTGGCTCTCAAGGGGAGACAAATACTAGAAATCATACAGATTGAGCAGTAGCATTTGACAGTTAAATTTTACTTGTGAATGGAGAATTCAAGTCCAGGTTTCCTGGTGGAGCATGACTAAGCTGCCGTTAGCAGTGCCAAGGAAATGGCTCCTTCAAGGTTATTCTCACTAATTCCAGTGTTTACTCTGGGGCTTACGCAGAGGAGGATGTAAGGCGATGCCGTGCTCTCCCTAGCAGCACGCTGGTGTGAAGGGATGATGGCAGAGGACTAACAGATCAAAAAATGCACCCACCTGTCTTATCAACAGCACTTCGGTTACCAGACCTAAAGATTACAGACAGGTACTTTGGCTTTGGTGCTTTTCAGAGTTTGTGCAGATTTAACAAGGTGTTAGAAGCCAGCCTGCCTTCCCCTGGCGTGGATGTGGCCAGAGAAGGTACAAAAGGAGCTGTGTCACCACGCTCTTTAATCTGTTAGTTAAAGCATCACAAAACCTGTGTAGATCAGGTATTAAATCCACTCCCAGTATGTCTGGTATGTCTCAGCTGCTGACCTCACTGATTAACAATCCGTCTGGACACTTCTATCTGTACATCCAGGCACTGGAGCAGCACTGAGTCACCTGGAGGCCATTCTTTGTGTACCATCCACTGCTGACCGGATCATTCCTGTGTCCAAGCAGCATTTCAGAGCACAGTCTGAAGATAAATGGGGTTAGCTCAGGGTGTGTGGGACCCACAGGCTGAAATTCCCTTCAGAGGGAGGTTACCTGCAGATCTTTCTGCATCGAGGTGTTGGTTCACCTGTGCAGCAAGGCCAGAGATGGGCTCAATTCCCGTGTGCACCCCTGCAGAGCTTCAGGAAGGTGCCAGAAAGAGCCCTCGGCTCCCCTCCCCTCTCCGTGAGGGCTGCTGCTCCGGGAAAAGGAACAGAAACTCCCCAGCTGCAGTTTGAGAATCGCTTCTCAAATCAGGCTGCTATTTAAGGGGGCAGAATTCACCTCTGGCTGCTGAAAAAGAGGAAGAGGCAGTTGTTTTTCTGAAGATGGTTTGAAGCAGCCTTGGCCTTCCGAGAATGTGCAAAACAAGTCGAAACGAGCTGGGTAGAGCTGTGTGTGGCGAACAAAATGCTACCAAGCGAGCAGAGCCTTGGCCCTTTTCATGTAGTTAGGGGTGCACTCAGTGCTGTGCTGCTGTAGAGGTAGAAACAGAGATAATATATTGTGGACTTCATACAGCTCTGGGCCCTGAGAAACTGGGAACTCCAGCTTTTCCTTTACTGAGAACCAGCTTTATCTTCTGTAAACAAACAGCAACCCAAAGGAAACACAGGTGGCAGAGATCTTGGATGTCATGGGGAGCTAACGAGTGTTTACAGCTCGACAACACTGTCTGCTTTTCCGTACCTGCCCTCCCTGCCAGCAGGGAAGCATGAAAAAGAAGAGGGGGGAAGGGTTGTTTTTGAAGCACAGGTTGCTTTTCCTCCGTCTGCCCAGCACCAGGTCTGTGACAATTCAGAGTACGGTTGTGAAATGTTTAATTACATTCTGCCAGTGGCTCAGTCCAGGCACCCAAGAAACAATGACGAGTCCAACCTCACAGCATCGCTGGGAGCCAGGGCAGAGCAACGGCTTCATTTTACAGATGGGAAAATCCAGTCCCTGACTCGTTGTGTGACCCAGCTAAGGTCACAGAAAGAGTCTGCCAGTGGCCCAGGAAGGGCAGCATGAATTTCCTCCCCCGAGCCCCCAGCACAGGACACCACGTCCCCTCCTGGACCCCCCAGGGGCACGTGCTGTCCCCGGTGCCTGTGACAGGAGGGCTGCAGCATCCCAAGCCCCCCTTGCAGTCTGGTACGGGGGAGCACACCGCAGCAAGGGCGCTCCTGGATCCTCCAAAGCAGGGCAGGAGGCATTTTGGAGGTGCCTGATGGCCTCCCACACCTCCCACACCCATTCAGATGGCACAGCCCCAGGAGAGCCACGGTGCCCCCATGCAGGGGCTTAATCCTGGCTTGGCTGGGACTCGGCGCACCAACCCCGTGCCAAGTTCTCAGCTCACCGCAGGCTTGTCCAGCCGCTATTCAGCGCAGGTTTCCAGGCGACAAGGGCCTGAGGCACTTCAGCGCTCATGGAAGAAGGTGAACGCCTGTTTGACAAAGCCCCAGAGGGTCGACAGGCTGCGGGGTTGCTGGGTTTTCCCCCCAGCCCCGAAATCCACGCAGTCCCTCCCTGCCATGGCCTCTCCGGATGACTTACAGTTGTTGTTGGTGTTGCAAATGTGCAGCTGGGCCAAGTCCTCCTCCAAGGCCCCCGCCAGCTCCTTCAGCTCCCTGGGAGCATCCGCCCTCAGGTACTGCCAGGCCTTGCGCCCGCTGTGGTCCCTGCAGCTGGTGTCCGCCCCGTAAGCTCCCACCAGCAGCTTGATGAGCAGCTCGTGGCCCTGCAGGGCGGCCAGGTGCAAGGGGGTGAGCCCGCCGCTGGCAGCGGGGACGTTGACGTTGACAGGATAACCCTTCTTCTGGGCGTGGGCGACCACCTCGATGAAGCTCTCGTGGTGGCCGTGCTTGGCGAGCCAGTGCAGGGCGGTGAAGCCCGTCACGAAGTCTTTCCTGCTCAGCAGGCTGGGCTCCAGGTCCAGCAGCCTGACGATGTTCTCCGCGTCGCCTTGGGCCACCGTCAGCAGCCACTCGTGCTCCAGAGGGTCCAAGGCCAGGGACAGCACCTCGGGGCTGTGCTCCGGAGCCTCCTGCTCCTGGTTCTGCCCCGCCACCTGCGCCGGGGCGCTGCGCTTGGTGCTGCTCTGCAGGATTCCCTTCAGCTCCTTCCTCCGGGTGCTGCCGGGGCCCGCGGCCGCCCTGCCCCAGCTCCCGCCGGGCTCTGCCGCCTGCGGGGCCTGCGGGGCCTGCGGCCGCTCCCTGCTCCCCGCCGCTGCCGGCCACAGGTGGGACACCCGGGCCACGGCCCCGCCGGGCGGCTCCGGGCGCACGAAGCCCCGGGGGGACCCCGCAGCCGCCGCCGCCGCCCCCCGCCGCTCCGCCGAGCCCCCGGGCTGCTCCCGCTCCCTCCGGGCCATGCCTCTGAGGGAGCGCCCGGCCCCGCACCTGCCGCTGGCACCGCGACCTTTGGCCGCGCCGCGGCGGGCACCGGGCGCCCTCCTCCGGGCACCGGCAGGAGGCGGCGGCGGCTCCCGGCGCTGCCCCCCCCCGCGCCGGGACCATCCCCGGGGCAGCCGGGGCCGAGCCCCGCCGCCGGGAGGGGCCCGGGCGGGACCCGGGAGGGGTCGGAGCCGCCCCCCCCCCCCCTCCCGCCTCAGCCCGCCCCGCGCCCCCCTCAGCGCGGACCGCACCACCTGCGGCAGCCGCGGGGGGGGCCGCCCGCTCCCAGCGCCTCACGCAGCGCAGCGGCGGCGCCGGTACCGGCGGCACCGGGAGAGCCCCGCGGTGGGGAGGGCAGCGGGCGGCGGGGAGCACGGCGGGATGCTGAGGGGCCGCGTCTGACCGTGCTCCCCCCCCCACCCCCACCCCCCGTGAGGCGGCGCCGTGGGCGCGCCCGGAGCCGCCCGGCCGGGCGGGGCGGGCCGTGAGGAGGGCGCGCAGCGATGGCGGCGGCCGAGGTGGCGCGGCAGGTGGGAGCGGGAGCGGCCGGGGGGCGCCGTGTGGCACCGGGGGGGGCTCGGCAGGGCTCGGCCGGGGCGGTGTGAGTCCGGTGGGGAGGGGGGGTAACGGGGAGCGGGGCGGCCCCCGAGGGGTGCGGGAACGGGAGGGCGGCTGCGTGAGGGGAGCGCTGCTCCCGGTGTCCCCTCGGCGTCGCCGTCCTGGCGGGCAGCGCCGTGCGCGGTCACCTTGGGCTGAGGGGATCTGAGGGGAGCCCCCTCGCCGTGCCCTTCATCCTCAGCCTCACCTTCATCCCCCCTCCTCATCCCCATCCTCATCCTCCTCACAAACCCGTCACTCCCCCCCCCCCCCCGGTCCTTGTGCTGCACCCCCCGGGCAGCTCCGTCCCCAGGGGACCCCGAGCCCCTCGCTGCCTCAGGGCAGAGCCCTCTGTCCGTCCATCCACCCGTCCGTCTGTCCTCAGAGAAATATCCAGAAGAGATATTTCTCCTTGCTCGGTACGGAGCCACCGTCACGCACCCGCGAGTGGAAGCGTTTTGCTTGGGGTGTGAAGGGCTCCCACAGTGCCGTAACGCAGGAATATTGCCTGGGACGGGTGCCTGCTGCTCTGTCCTCCAAGCATGGTTTTTTTTCACGCGCCAAATCGTGCTGAGCGGGTAGCCACTCGCCGGTTCGTGGTGTTAGTTCCTCCTGGACACGGCCACTGCCTTGTGCGCCGTGCCAAGGTATGTGCAGTGACTCACTCGCTCCCCTGTCTTCAAGAAAATTGAGCGTTAGGCTTTCCTCGGATGATGTGCAGGGCTTCCAGACATCTGCTGGTGACCTGGAATGAATTACGCTACGGCTCGGCCTCTCTTCAGAGGCCAAAGCGAAAACTGGCCGTGTGACGGATGAGAAATTAGAAATGCCTTCACCCAGACCCGCAGTTTGTCAGCCTGGGTCATGGCTGCGGCCAGCGAAGCGGTCTGCTCTGACATCCTGGTGATCCAGGGGCTCCTGGTGGTGATTTGGGGGATTTTGGAAGCTTTTGCCTGTTTGTGAATGTTGAATGGCTGAAGGATGCAATACGGCCTAAGGGAGCGGTCAGTGGTCAGGAGTTTTGGGGAGATCTCTCTCACTTTCCATGGTGGCTGATTCAGAATTATTTATCCTGCTTTTCTGTTTTTCTTTTATATTCACCCTGATGATTTGTTATCAGCTGAGCAAGAAGAAGAAACACAAAGTCTATACCTTCACTTTACATCCCTGCATTGCATTTGTTTCATGGGAAATGTTTTCGCTGTCTGCTGGATAATTCCCTCATTGCATAAGGGAATTACACACTTGTACAAGTGAGAACTAATTGGTACAAGCCTTGCTCTAATTTGTTGTTTAATCAGAGTCAAACGCAGTCTGGGGAAGTGGATGCCACAACGTCGAGGTCATGGGAAGGGATCTGACGTTGTTCTCACTTAAATGCGGTCTGAAAAACCCTGAATTCGGGGTCTGTTTAGCTTCCCTCCGAAGGGAGCTTCCCAGTCCTTGGTGTCTGAAACGGTTCTTCAGAGGTGTCAGAAGCATGAGATGTCAGTCGGTGTCCCAAACAGGAGCATTTTTTTAAATTAAGTGCAGAAAAAAATGTAGTACTGCAGGGCTGGGAAGCATTTTCTTGCTGTGCAGGCCTCGTTTGGACGCTGGGTCCCCTGGGTTCAGAGCTGTAGGATTTTTTGTATTCTGTGCTCTGCCTGAGCACTGCCAAACAGGCTTTTTTCTTAGCCACGGTGTCCTTTTTCGTAATTCCTGTTAGTACATGCCACCAGAAACCATCCTGAATATGGCACGTGGATGTTTGCAGTGAGCAGCTCACTGCTCGTCTCGGAGAGGACACCGTGCTTCATCCCCACAGAGCAGCAGTCGCCTCTTGGCACTCTGAGGATGTCCCAGGAGCTGTACCTGAGGTGCAAGAAGATAGAAATGCAAGTTCAGCAAGATTTTTCTAATCATTTTTTCATCCTGGAGAGATTCAAACACCTGGAGTCTAAATCTTGCCTGTTTTTGTAAACTAGCAGTTAATGTGCAGGGTTTTTTTTTGGTTTGGGGTAATTAATTTCTCTGTATTTTCCATGCTGTTGAGGTACCTCTCTGTAAGAATTACAGAGCAGGCAGCAGCAGTTCCTGTGGCATGGAGGCCCTCCCAAAAGGTGTGCAGATCCTCCAGAGACAGGGGAAAAAAAATGCAGTAACTTCTACAAGGGGCTACTCTTCACTTTTGCTGTGAAATAGCCCCGCCTGGCAGTGAAGCAGGAGAGTGTGTTGCTCTTTTTGTTCTTTTAATCTTGTTTGTGGCAAACACGCTTTGCTTCCTCCCGAGCAACAACAGCCCATTCTATCCTAGGGGGGGTCACTCTGTGTGTATGGGAAAAAAAAAAGGCATCTGGTGTCTTGGTGCAGTGCCAGTATTCACACTGGCTTCCCAGATACTCCCGTCTTTGTCTTCAGTCCAAGAAGATGCTAACTTTAAACCGGAGAATATGGAAGAACTCTCAGCCATCCAGCGCTCAGCGGTGCTAGCGGAAAAAGCCTCCGCGTGGGCAGCACTTAAACCTCGCTTCCCTTGCTGATACCTCTTCATGCATTTTAAATTGAACCGAAACATTGTTTTGTTCAGGGTAAACAATGGCAGCTCTTGAACGCTTTTTCAGCACAGATTGTTTTAGGAGCTTAACATATTCCCCTTTGGTTTTCCACAAGGTAATGCAAATCTAGATCTAATATCCAGGCAGTATGACTAACTGCCGTGTTCATATGTTGTTTATGATGGTGCTGTTTATATATAGCAGCATTCTGGATACAGAGACACCTCGTGGCATGTGGAGACTGATTACTTGCCCTGTTTCTTGGGGGATCAGGTAGAAAATGGTTCTTTTCTCTCCAGAGGCTTGGTAATTGCTGTCAACTTTCTGATGTGTGTCAACACCACATAAATAAAAAACGTCATTCTTTTAAAATAGAAAATAAAGCATATATTTTTTTATTTTTTTTTCAACACGCCTGATCTCTCAATGCTTGGCCCTTGCAGGCTTTGGGTTTTTAGCCACTACAGCACGATATGCCTTGTGGCTGTGTACTTAACGTGAAGGTTGAGCTGCTGTGACTGAAAATCAGATTTTGCTGTATTTGTTTCCTGACCTGAAACAAATGCGAAGTGTGGTTTAACTGCGTTATAAAACCACAGGTGACTAGAAAACCAGGGTACAGGAAATGACTCGCAGGCTGAATTCGGCGCGACAATGAATGCCTCCCCTTAGCTGAGAGGGGCTTAACTTTCACCATTTACTTTGTTCCATCTGGATCACACTTATATTTAGGGACCAGGAGAAGATTTGTTCTTAATGAGAGCCTACACGCCTGCCCACGCTTCCTGCAGAGAGTAGTGTTCAAACAATCTCCCAACAGCACAGTTTTAAGGCTGGGTGTTAAAAATACACTGGATGCTTCTCCTTCCCCAGGAAGGCTTCTGTCTGTGGTTCTCTCTCGCCTCTGCAGCCTCTTCACCAGGACCATGCTGCTCCCTCGCCGGGGATAAAACCCTACCACGAGATATTCTAGCGCTGGGGCTTTGTAGAAGGCAGTTTAGGAGGAGAGTTGAGATGTGCTGTCACAAAATCCACGTGCCTGATGGCCTTCTGGTTCTCCGTTTCCTCTGCTTTGTATAAAACCGCTCAGTTTGTGAATGGTTGGCCTCAGAGCTGCGTCCTAACAGGCAAAACCAAATTTTGCTGGGTGAGCAGGGCGCCCTCCTGGTTAGCGTGTCGTCTGGAGGCAAGGTGCTCGGGAGTTAATAATGAGCCATATTTGTGAACATCTTGGCAGGTAGAGTCAGACTAATGCACAAAGTATGGCTAGGGGGAAACATATTTACACATCACAGGGCTGTAAATATAGTTAATGGATGAAATGTAGTTGTATCCTTGCATTTGGGGGAAAAAAACACCCACACCAGCTCTGAGTGGTAGATGCAGTCCTTGGGGGCATTCTGCTGGCCTGAAACACTAGGATTGTTAACAAAAGAGGAAAACCAGTATGCCCGTCCCTATAAACAAGCTTTTTGATGTATGTGGAAATGGGATCCTGAAAGAATAAGTTGAAAATTACACCCCTATAAACTGTTGCCTCGTGGTTGTAATATTTCTTGCAAGCTGTTGATGTGCTTAAAAGGCCAGAGGGGAGTTTTCTGTGTTTGGCACCAAAATGGGTTCTTAAGAGAAAAGCCTGTGATCTGCAGAGAGAAATCCCTTTCTGTGGGACTGCGGGAGGTAAGGAGGCCCTGGTGGCCAGGTGAAGGTCTCGGAGCCCTTCTCCATCAGCGAGCAGCTGTGCTGGGTGCGTGGCATGGAGGGAGCTGGAGCTCATCCCTCTCCCTGCTGGGGCAGGCTCTGGCCTCACATCTTCCTTGCATCTTCCTCCAACGATCCCTGCATCTCCTGGTGCTAACAGCTGTTTTGTAGATCTGGACAGGCTCCTGTCTGAGAGTTTCATCTTTGTGACAGCAAGGAAGATATCGCTGTGCTTGGTAGCTCAAAGGCTTCATTCTCTGCTGCTTCTCTACAGCTCTCTGTGCAGAGGCTGTGTTTGGGCTGTTCAATTACTGATGTAGGTACAGTTTCCCTAATTGTTGCTAGCTCGTTTCTGTAATTGAAGTTTTAATGTGCATTGCAATAGGCGTGCAGGAGGAGGCATCGCTAATACATTCCTTTGCCCAGGGGATTCTTTTTGTTTTCGGTATAAGGTGAGACTTGAGTGTCTACATAATTTCTCAGGATAGAAACGTTTTGTCAACTCCTTGTTTCAGCATTTGTGTTTGGGTTTGTGTTTTGCACGGTTCAATACTTTTCTGACAGGGCCCCCTTCTCCTGTAGGGCAAATAGGGTGTTTGATCCGTGCTCTCTGCATTTGTTTTGGAGAAGACTGATGGATGCTGATTGCGTTTATCACAAGATTTACAATATATGTGCAAATCTGTGCATGGACTGTATACTTTATTCTACCTGGGAGGTCTTAAGGGCATGTAGAGATAAGTGGGTTTTGCTTGAAAATGACAGACTGTGTATTTTTCATTATTTCAGGGTGAAGGCTGTCGTACTGTCCCCCTTTCTGGACACGTGGGATTTGACAGTTTGCCTGACCAGCTGGTTAATAAGTCAGTTAATCATGGGTTTTGTTTCAACATCCTGTGTGTGGGTGAGTATTTCCATCTTGGGAAGCTCTGTTTGTTGAAAAGGGCTTTTCTGCAGCTGGGTGTAGCTTAGAGGTAATGGAATTAACAAGGTAGCTTTGATTTGAATTTCCACTCCCCTGTTCTGCCTATTTTCAGTAACAAGATTTAGTGGTGCCCTGGGAAATCCCTGCTGGGGTTATGCAGTATGGCTTTCTACCAAGCAGTGAACCACAGAAATGAAATGCCTAGAGTCCCACGCGTTTATTATGATCTTTATTTGCCTGGTCTGTTTCAATGTCGTGTTTTTAAAAGAAAATAGGTATTCATGCCAGAGAACTCCATTCCAAGGTCTTGTTTGATCAGACACTCAGTTATTATTATAATTATTTTAACAAAATACCAGTCATTCTCCTCTTAAAGCACTAAAAGCTATTTTTTTCTTCTCCTTTCTGTGCATGCTTGAATTAAATAGTGTCTGGCCAAGCCTTAGCTGGTCATGCAGCCATCCAGGCTGCCAAGCTGTATGCATCTGAGCTGGGCCCTGGCGCTGTAGCAGGACTTGGTGTCTGTCCCGCAGTGTCTGCCCCTCTCACGGGTCTTCCCTGTGGTGAGGACAATCGTTTTGATGCACTGATGCATCAGGGAATGGGAATTTATTGTGTGGCTGCATGGGGTAAGCCCTGTCTGCAGTGCCTGGCGTGACAGAGGGGAGAGCTGCAGCTGCTGATGGCTCCTGGGCTCTTGTCTCTGCTGGTGGTCAGCTCCGTGTCCTCACAAAGCCTGTCTGTGCTGCTCCTGAGACCCAGTACAGGGCACGGACCTGGGGTTAAGCCTGCGATGAGAGGAGCAGAGTGCGGAGAGCCCTGTTAAATGGAGCTGAGAGGAAAACTTTCCCTGACAATGGCATTCCTGTGAGATGCTAAACTTTGCTGACAAGTCGAGGTCACTGTCAGGCTGAGTCAGTAGGTGATTTCCACTGTACACGAATGAGATGTGACCCAGTGAAACTCTTGTCCCCAAACCGAAGCCTTACTGTATTTCCTTTTGCACTTACTGAGCTGCTGTGTTATTTTCTGCAAGTAGGTGCAGCAGCAGATGCCTCCCTTGGTTAAGTATTCCCCATGATGTGTGGAAGGCGGTTGAATACCCCTGCTTTCCTCTTTGCACAGCAGAACAGGAATGCACTAATTGCTCGTTCTTCTGAATAACAAGGGCTCACCGAGATCGATGTGCATTAGTTGTTAATGTCAGTCTTTTATGAATCGTAACAACACAGACATGGTAAATCTTGAAATAAAGAAGCTTCATAGAAAAAATTAATAAGTTCCCTTAGAAAAAAATGTGCACATTTTTAGCTGATGAACTCAGGCTTTAACAGAGCCTCAGTTAACTTGTGGTAACAAAGTTAACCCCTTAAACATCCTGGGGAGAGAAAAGAAAAAACGGTCCCAGGATCCATCTGTCATTTAGACTGCTGGGTCTCACTGCTACAGCAGGAATTTGGGGTGAAAAACTTCAAGAACAGAAAATGAACAAGGATTGAGACCAACAAAACAGGATGAAGGTGAACTGATGCCACAGTCAGGCCACTAAACATGACAGAAAGACACTTCGTTACTCCCCATTTCTCAGCTGCATGTGGAGTTTGTTGGAGGAAGAACCCAGCGGCAGTTTTACACTGCACCGTGCTGGAGCCGAGCCACCGATTCCTCCGGCTCCCAGCGGAGGAGCCAGGGAACGCTTCAGGAGCGACTCCCAGCAGCACGTCCAGATTAGAGCAATTTTTAGCTGTTCTCATGCTGAAAGCTGTCTCCCCTCTCAGACAAGCCAAAGATAGAGTGAACGAGCAAAGCTCTCCGAAGAACTTAGGGGCTGTGGATGGTTCCTCTGCTATTTTATTCCTCGGCACAGCCATTTTCTCCCTGAAGCTGCTCTGCTAAAATGCTGGCCGTGTGCTAGTTCAGTGCAAAGGCTGGGGAAGTGTTTAATGGCTGAGCCCTTCTGTGCTGACTGCATTGCTCAGCGAGGTGGGGGAAGGAGGGAAAGAATAGGCTTTTATTTGGTAAACTTTCTCAGTTTTGGCCGGGGCAGATTATAGATGTATTAGACTAGCATCCCATTATGAGCAGGAATTTCCCCCTTCCTCCCTCCCAGGATTTGTGAGGGATTTGTCCTAAGCAGCCTAGTCAGTGCAACGAGAAACTGCTATTTTGCTGGGGAAACACCATCTTTTCTTCCCAGGGGCTCTACTGCAGCTTTGAGGACTCACAAAGAACAGTTCCTGTGTTTTTTCCTTGTGCATTCAGCAGCTCCCAAACTGGACCCAACCATTTCTGGCTTATCACTTCCCAGCACTCGGTCCGTGCTGGAATTGCCCTGGGCTCAGTGATGGTGGGAGTGAATTCGAGGTGTCCCCCCCAGGGGGCTGTGTTTAAGAGGCAGTAAGTTTGTGCTGGGTCCCCACACCAGTGAGCACCAGCAGCAGGGGAAGGGTGGGATGCCCACGGGTTTCCTCGTGCAGAGCTGCCCTCAGCTCTCCAGCGGGCGGCTTTCTGTGGGGTGAGGAGCTGTGGGGTGAGGAGCTGTGGTGCTGCCGGTTGCCAAATGATGGGTTTTGTGGTCACTGCTGCAACCAGCTGAGAACAGGCTTTCTTCAACCGAAAAGCCTCTGCTCTGCGGGGCAGATGGCAGCAGCATGGCTGGGAGGCCCCAGGCTCCGCTGAGGTGCTTCTGCATCGTCTGTGGGCCCTTGTTCCTCCTCTTGCCCCCCGCAAGCCCGGCCTTTGCCTTGCAGTGGTGTGCTGTCAGATGAAAGGAGCTATTTTTTTCCCTGAAAGCTGGCCTTATCAGGCTGTGCTGCCTCAGGGCTCATCCTGATGAACCTGCTACATCGGATTACTTCCCGTTCCTTCACACGAAAGGGCTGTGCGTGCATGTGCGTCTTCTATAGAACGGAATTATCTGATATCTGGAGCCACGGGGGTTAGTCTTGTGAGGGACAGGGGTTGCTCTCTCTTGAAAGGGCTCTGTGCGGGTTCAAACACTCCGTGCTTTCCAACAGCGGAATACTCTGAGGACTCCTGACCTACTGCAGAGGCACCTGAGGGTCTCTTGAATCCTGAGCGAGGTAGAGAAGGGAGCCAGTGAGCAGTCCGGTGTTGTTCTGCCTGACATGTGCCAGGGGAAAGCAAACTGAACCACCAGGCTCAGAAAGGAAGAGGAGGCCGAGCTTTCACAGCATGTGCTTCAGCAGGTGTGGTGCTGGGGCCGTGGGCCCTTTCTGTCTCACCCAGTGCCGGGTGAGCTGGCGTGGGGATGCCACACATCCCGAATCCGACTGCTGTGGTGTCCCTCGCCTTCTTTTTTAACTTCCCCGTCTCTGGAAATCATCAGACTTGAAAGCTAAAATCCACCCGGCGCTGACAGGCACGGTGCTCCCGCGTTTCAAGGGCCGTGCGAGCTTCCTGGTGCCGAGCTCTAACAATAAAGGTCACCGTCCCTACCTTCTCCTCCCCGCAGCGCTTTGCCAGCCCTGCTCCAGGAGAGCAGAGTCGCATAAAGCTTAAGTGCAGTGTCGGAGATCAAATCCCATGTGTGCCTCTATGCCTGACATCAGGAAATAATCTCCCTGCCAAGGACGCCTCTCGCTCGATTTGCGTACACCGCTGCTTTTTTCCACGGTAATTCTGCCTCCCTTAATCCCCATTCATCCTTTCTGTTTTTTTGGAGAAGATTCCAGCGCTGCTGGCTGGAACGAGCACAGCCTGCTTGTCCTTTTCATCAGCACATCTGTTCCATCTGGACTGCTGTCCTTACAAGAAGCAGTTGGCACCGTTTTCATCCTCCAGCTAGCAGAAAGTTGCCTCTGTGTCAGGCAGCGTCTCCCAGGAGGCTCAGCAATCCTCTGTTCTCGCCGTTTGCCCTTGAAAGCAGCGCTGCTCCCTAGCTCTGGTCGTGTTTAACACAGCAAAGCACTTTACTCAGGGCGTTGCCATCTCACATCGCTCTGCTAGCATTAGGGCCACGTTTCTGTTAGCTGAGAGTCCTTCTGCTCTCCTCCCTCCTCTTCTCTGGCAGGCTCTTGATGCTGTGCTGTGGCAGGGGGGTTTAGCTGGAATGGGATTGCTGATGTGCAGGCTTCACGTCTGAGATGCTGCGTTAGTGCCTGGAGGTTTTGTTTCCTAAACACGAAGGTGTAGGAGTTCGGATGGGAAGCTGTCAGCTGTGGCGTCGTGGCTTTCCAGTTTCCATCTTCCCCTTCCAAAAGGAAAACATCAGCGTGGGAATTTGGAGTCGCCTTTACTGGCCCTGCGCAGCGTGCGGGAGATGGAGTATAAAAGCATACTCCGCCTTCACAATCAGCCTGCACCCCTTCTGCACCTCTCCCGTCTGCCCCGACAGCTAGAGTCACTCCTGGAAGCTCCATGGGATGGAGTGCGTGGGGCGTTGGCACACGTGTGGGGCTGCCCCCCCAGCAGGACCCAGCCCGGTCCCCACCAGGGATGCGGGCAGCCGAGTGCCTGCTCTGTCCCACCCGTCCGGGTAGTAACCCTTGGCAGGAGCTCTGGAAACACTGCCGCCTTCTCAAGCTGTTTAGATTTTGGTCTTTTTTTTTATACCGACATTTTCCTGGAATCCCTGCTAAAAGCCTGGCGAGGTTGTGCAGGCTTTCTGCTCTTAACTCTTGAAAACCCCGTCCAAACCGTGGCGATGCTCTGGCCCTCCATACCCTCTGCACCTTCTCCCCACAAATAGGACAATTAGGACAAATGCTGCCCTAAAAGCCCAGACTGGGGCAGGATTGTAGCACCGTACACCCGGTGCTGGCTCTCCTCTCCCCTTGGGGCTGCAGAAAGGCTTGGTGTGAAAGCCACTGGACTTCTGGCCGAAGCTGACATCCATCTGTGACACTATCAGCATTTCAGCTCGAGGTGTGCGTTGACTTCCAGATGTCAAGGAATCATTCTCCCTTCTTGAAAGACACTTGGTGATCCTGGCAATCAGAGAGCATGCGGTTCCCAGAGCGGTGCGGGTTTGCCTTGCCCTGAGCTGTGAAGTCCCTGCTGGGGCCAAGAGAGAGGAATTTGCCTGCTTGAAGGGGTGAGGCGCGGAGATTTGGACGGGGGAAGAAGGGGAGGAGTTTCCCCTTATTGAATTGGGCGTTTCATGCAAGTTTGGATCTGTTGCAGAACTCGAAGCCTACAAAAATAAGCTCTTTTCTTCTGAGCAAAGTAGGGAAATGATGATGTCTTGTTAGGGAGCTGGGGGCTCAGGGAGGGAGGCAGGGAAGGCTGCCTCGCCGAGACACAGGCTCCTTGTGGTCCCGGGGCAGGCTGGAGGAGCAGCCTGTGCACTGGGTGGGGTTCAGCTGGCTGCCGAAACTTCAGCAAAAACCAGACGGGTGGCTGAGAAATGGCCATTTCCCCAAAATACCACAGTCCTCACGGGGCAACAAAGCAGACTGCTTAGAGGTTCGCTGCAAAGTCAGGTCCTGGGAGCTGGGGAAGCTGGCTCTGCTGTCAGAGCGTGGTGAGGGAGGCTGCCCGGTGGAATGAGTGCACGGAGGGGTTTGTTTGGTTCTCCCTGGGATGTATCTAAAACAAATTTAAGGCTGGTCTCTGGGATTTGTCTCTTGCTGCCAGATAAAGAAATAGTTCCCCGTGATAGAGGGGATCCAAATAGCAGTTGAATGCTGCAGAACCTCTGGAAGCAGATTTCTGTGTGTTGTTCAAGTTGTGCAGCCTAATATTTCCTAATATATGGAAAGCAGGTATTGCAGAAAAGGTCCCTTCTGCTCTAGAAGGCTGTGCCCCAAGCAAGGCTGCTGTGAGTACAAGAAACCATCTGCACAGCTTGCTGTAGGATTGGAACCAATTCTGTTTCTGCACTGAAGGAAGCTATTTCAGTGGCTGCAGAAATATTAATCTGGAGAGTCTTTTTTTGGAGATGGCAATAAGCCCCACTTCCACCCCCCCCACCTTTTAATGAAAACAGGATTTTCTGTAGTGTAGTTATGGGATTCTGCAGGATCTGAGCGATGCTTTCCCCTTTGCCTTTTCACCTTTTTCTTTTCATCTCTATTTTCTAACGATATTAATGGCCATTAGACTGTGAAATGTGATTTGCCTGGAATACAGGCCTCCATTGTACATGCCTTTCTGCTTGCCAGACGGTCCCTTTGGAGCACGAGATCTGCTTTCATCTGCTACAATTTCACCCCTGTTAATGTTTAGATGCTGAAAGGGCAAGCCATATTAATATTCAACAAAACATTTCAACTCTTTTTTTTTTTTTTTTTTTCCCAACAGGGGAAACTGGCCTTGGTAAGTCCACCCTCATGGACACCCTGTTCAACACCAAGTTTGAAGGTGACCCAGCATCTCACTCGCAGCCTGGGGTCCAGCTCAAGTCTAGTACCTACGACCTGCAAGAGAGCAATGTCAACCTCAAACTGACCATCGTGAGCACAGTGGGCTTTGGGGATCAGATCAACAAAGAGGACAGGTAAGTGAAGAGGGAGAGAGGCCGTATCCTGACCTCATTCTTTCATGCTTGGCTTTCTCTTGTGCCCTACTTGGGTCGGACTGTGCTCTCCTCTTTCCTTCTTAGAAGTTGCCTTTGTCCTCTCTTTGGGATGGAACAGGAAGAAAAGAGGAGACCACGGTGTGTCAGCACTGCTCCAGCTGTCACAGCAGCTTTTTGTACACTCTCAGAGCAATATTGGCCTGCCGGCAGCCCAAATTCAGCTGGTGGGGCTGGCTGAGAGCTCCAGGGCATTTCTGTGCTCGTTGCCTTGTGCTGTGCTGACCACAAGCTGCCAACCAAACCACTAGCGTGGTCTAGTGACCGTTTGGCTTAACAACCGCTTCTGGCAGGGCTCTTCCATCTTGCTAAAGGATGCACGATTGATGTTCAGTGAAATGTAATTTGGGGAACTGGCTCTGGCAGCTCACGTCGCAGCAGAGCTGGAGCGTGGTGGTTAAGCGGTGTGTGACTCCACCAGGCCAGTGCACATCTTCACAGCTGGGGTTTGCTTTGTTGCAATCAGCATCTGTTAGATTTTCTTTTTAGTTTTGTTGATACCCTTTACGTTGCAAGACTGATGGGCTCTGTATACCAGATGGCCTCGGAAGGGATTTACAGATTTGAATTGGTCAGAGAATTGGTCCTGAAAAGAGAATTCTAACGAGCAGCTCATTTTTAAAAAGCAAGCAGAGGAGTGCTGTCTGTTTACCTGTCTGCCTGTGAGATGATGTATAACTTTTTTCCTTTCACTGAAGCTATAAGCCCATTGTTGAGTTCATCGATGCTCAGTTTGAAGCCTACTTGCAAGAAGAACTGAAGATAAAGAGGGTCTTGCACAACTACCATGACACCCGGATCCATGCTTGCTTGTACTTCATTGCTCCCACGGGCCACTCACTGAAATCCTTGGACTTGGTGACAATGAAGAAGCTTGACAGCAAGGTAGGCACATTTAACTGGTACTGCGCAGGTCACCTTGCTCATGATGGCAATACTGCTGCTTTTCCAGGGCGTATCTTCCCCCTCTGCTTAGCCTTTATGCTAGTGGAGATGACAGGGTTGGCAGATAAATCCTGTAGACTTACTAAGCACTTTCTATTTTTTTTGTAAGTTGTGTTGTAGACTTGGAAAAACCACCTGGAGCAAAGCTCAGGACTTCTTATCTCTCTGTGCCTTTCTAGGTCAACATCATTCCTATCATTGCCAAATCGGATGCCATTTCCAAGAGCGAGCTGACCAAATTTAAAATTAAAATCACAAGTGAGCTGGTCAGCAACGGGGTTCAGATCTACCAGTTCCCAACAGACGATGAATCGGTGGCGGAGATAAATGGGACAATGAACGTAAGTGACTCAGCACTTCCTCCTCTCCCGGAGCACTTCAGCACTCTCACTGTTGGGGTGGTGGCCTATAATGGGGTGTTTCTTAAATCCATTTTCCCTTTAATTTTGCGTCTTAAAAATGGAGGATCCCACCCATGTAGTGTCATCCTAGGCTAGCAGAGCCTTGTGATAGGCTACAGCCTCTCTGGCAGGCTTTTGTACTAAGAAAGCAGATGATTTTTACCCCCTTCCTTGTCCTAATACATAAATCTTGAGAGACATGCAGGAAATTGGACAGATAGTGAGGTCTGGCTATGCAGAGGAAGGACAACCACGGGTTATGAATTAATCAGATGAATATTATCTGTCTCACGTGAGGGGCAGCCTGTCCACAGTCAGGCACTTCACTGTTCTGCACCAAACAGCTTTGCTCTCCTGGACTGGTGTTTCCTGTGAAGCGCTGCATCTACAAGGTGTTTCCTCTCAGCTGTGGCTGTCTTTGGAGCAGAGCCCCTTCACCTGGCCGGCTCTGGTACTCCTCCTGTGCGCTGAGTTGCTGTTTTATTACTGATCTGCTTTTGTTACTGATCTGCTGTTGCTTAGCTGGGTCCTGTGTCTGGTTTGGCCTTGCAGCGCTGATGAAGGATGGTGCTGTTGGCCAGAATGGGTGAGCAGAGGGATGCAGTGGGGCTGGATTACAGCAATGGCTTCCTTTGAGCTACAACCAAGTGGTGGTTTGAGAAATTTGTAATTCAGCCATAAAATACAGGGGTTGGACCAGAGGCCCCTCTCGTCTCTAAACATCTGCTCTTGGTCACTCCTAGAGTACATAATAAGAGAGAGAAGGTATATGATGCCTCCCCCAAATACTTCCTTAGCCTCTGACCATCTTCAGATCAAGGATTTCTGTCCCATGCACCACCAGTGTGTGAAGAACAGAGTACACAAGTTAATTCCTAGTCAGAGTGATTTTGGGATGGCATCTTGCTCAGTGCTCTCACTGCACCAGATTAAAAGCACTGCTGGAAATGAAGATACAATATCACTCGGTCCTCAAGGAACCAGAGATGTGATGACAAAGGGAGAGGTCCTCTCCCGTTGGCCCTTCTGAGGGTGGAGGTAAACTGCTTATCTTTGCTTTCGGTCATTTCCATGTCTCCTGGCAGGGAATTGCTGTCTCAGGTTGTAGGCGTTCTGGATTGTGTCAGCTGCTGCACAGAGATCAACTCTTTAAATCCTCCATTAAACTGATATAAATCATAATTACCAGCTTTAGGGGGGCTAAGCAGGCTGGAATCTGAATCTAATTGCGGTAGTTTTACACACCTGGAAAACTGGTCTCCAAATGCTGATTTTTTGGAAAACAAATCTGCTTATGCTTCAGGTCAGGAGATGAGGAGATGGAGGAATTGAGACCAATAAAAAAGCCAGGATGGGATGATTTAGGTTTGTAATCTGAATTGCCAATTTTAATCATATTTGAAATTGAGGAATGGAAAACTTTTATTTCAGTCAGTTGGCTTAGCCTTCACGTTTGTGATTCTCTACAGAAAGCTTCATTGTCTTTGCCTTTTACACATCAACATCTTAGAAAGGTTATAAATGAAGTCTTCAGGCTAAAGTGGGGCTTCTGGCTGACCAGCAAACATTCTAGATCAGTTACCTTTCTTTTTTAATTACAGAGAAAATTGAGACTGGTCTCTCGATTACTTAATGTTTTGCTTATGATCTGTGTTGGTTGTCTTTTCCATGAAAAGTAAAAATGGGTTTTTAAATATGCAAACTCACCACTTAATGTGCATTTTAGTTTATTATATTCACTTGTGCTGGATGCATGAGGGATTTTTTCAGGGTACTTTGCATACAGAATTGACTTACTAAACGAAACACTGCCTGATGTGACAGGAATTGATGAACTGAAGATTTAAGATCTGTGTCATCGTGATTAGAAAGAAAAGTATTTAACCGTGAACAAAGGCGTCAAGTGGAGTATTTAGCAAATAATCAGATTAAACAAATCTTCAGAACAAGATGCCTGATTTTGCCTGAAATTGATCTGGTCTTTTTGATAATCCCACTATGCTGATGTTTACAAGTTCAGAGATGTAGAGACCACTTGAAAACACTCTCCAAAATTCTTTGGATCTCCTCCCATCCGGGTTTTATTCTTAAATCATAATAAGAAAAATGAGCTCTCCTATTCTTTCAACTCCCAATTGGCTTTTCCATTTTGAATGAATTAATCTAATGACTGATTAATATATTTTCCCTGCACCTGCTGTTTAAATGGAACCACATGCAACCACATGAGCTGTCCCACATGGTGGGAGCTGGAACTTGCTTGTGGAAAAAGGAAATCACCAGCACTTTCTCCCTGGCGAAGACAGCAGCCAGACAGTGATGGAGGAACCAACTCCATTCGTGGTGACTGAGCCCACAGGCAGGCAAGGTTCAGTTTCTGCCACTGCCCCAGGTTGCTCCTCTTGCTCTCATTGCTCAGTTTGTCGCTTGGACATCCCTTTAGTTCATTCCTCCAGAGACCTGAGTGTGAAACAAACAAAAGGCATTTACAGCAGTTGGAGAAATCAGCCAAGGGATGCTCCTTCGGAACAGCCTGAAGAAGACAAGAGGGAGGTGTGGAAACTCACCCAGGAACGACAGGATGGGAAGAGGGCAGCTCTGGTAGCCTGTGGAGGAAGGTGTCACCAAAGGGGAGCCCATTTTGCCTCTAGTAAATACTGGCATGATCCCATGGCTTGGATGGGGAGCAGCTTGGGCCCAGCCCACGTGCTGGCTGGCCTCAGGTGTCTCATGCAGACCAGTTGCACGCATGCTTTGCAATTAGACAGCCCTCTGCTGAAAATCAGATCCCCTTCTACCTGGAACATCACTTTCCTTTTTCTGCTGCTTGGCCTCTCCAGCACAATTGCAAAGGTAACTCTGTGTGGAGAGTGTCTCAGGTGCTCAGACCCTCAGCGTGGCCCAGAACAGCCCCACCAGCTTGACCAGTAGCCCCATTTATGCTGTCATGTTCCCCATGTGAGAGTTGCAAGGCCAGGGAATGAAAGCCGAAGAGCCCATCTTTGTGGGTGCTTGCTGGCAGCTCTTTATTTACTATATGAGCCACGCTCTGAAAGTAGAAAATGCCATCTCTGAAATCTTTTGCTTGTACTGGCTGTTACCAACTTGTCCACGTTTTCAGATGACCCATGGAATTAAAGCTTCTCCACCTGCTCTTGTGAGCAATCTAAGGTCACTGATCTTCCGTGTAATTGGCATCCTGGGGCCCTTTTAATTGTCCAGAACAAAATGCAGTTTAAAGGCTCCAGCTAACAAATGTGTCTGCGCAGAACTCAGCAGAAGGGGTGGGTGCAGGGAGTTGGCAACTTTATTTTTAATTCTTGAAACCTTCCACTTGACTTCTTTGTAGCTTGGCAGAATGCAATGTAGTTCCTAGGAGCAAGTGGAGGTGAGGAAACATCTCGCTTACTGCACAACAGATAAATGCAGTAAGATAGCAGAGTCTGAGGGGTTTGCTTGGCTGCCTGAGTTTGGGGAATGAGGGGAGCGTAAGGTGAGGTCTTCTGAGCCTAGAGCAGTGGTGTTGGCAGTGTTTTTGTTCCATCTCTGCTGAACTTTCACTGGGCAAGTCTCTTAAGCTCTCACTAAAAAGTGACTATTTTGTGCTTCTGGGTCACAACAAAGAAATTCCTTTTGCTGTTGGTCAAGCATCAGGTGCTGCAACAACCATACTGTGTGGTGTGTGTCTTGGCTTGAGGAGCATAATGAGACATGGCTGAGGTACAGCTGTGCTCCCCTGTCCCTCCCTGAAGGTGTGATCCCTGGATTCAGCCTCCTTTGTGGAGGGATGTGTTCAGCCCTTCCTCACCAGGGCTGAAGCAGACAGGGAGGAAAGCTGTTATCCTGGGGGTGAAGGAGGGACTTTGGTCCCTGATGTGACAGAGCAAGTTGTCTTGTGCTCTGCTGTGAGCTGAGGGAGCGGTGGGATAAAATCAAGAAGGCTCCAAGACCTCTTTTATTGCTTCTGTGCTTGTGCAGATGTTCTCCTCGGGCACGGCAAGCCCCCGGGACAGCAGCTCAGGCAGAGCCCCGCAGCGCGTTGTTGGAGCTGTCTCTCTGATGCTAGTCTTGTGCTGGCTCATCTCACCTGAGGTCCCGTGGCTGGGAGGATCAGCCAGGTAGCGGCTGTAGTGTGGTAGCACTAACAAAGTTTCCAAAAAGGACCCTCCCTTCTCCCTCCTTGTCTTGGGCTAGTGGCCAGTGACTAGACTCCCTGAGATTAGCTTGTGCGTACTGGCTGTTGTGCTCGGTGGTTGTGCTGATCTCCGCGTGCTGCCGAGTCAGCCGGAGCTGAGGGGGACTAACGAGGGTTGCATTAAATGTGTTCCAGGCCCACTTGCCATTTGCAGTGATTGGGAGCACAGAGGAACTGAAAATAGGAAACAAAATGATGAAAGCTCGTCAGTACCCCTGGGGCACGGTGCAGGGTGAGTCAAGATCTGGAATTTTTCATGGCATGGATGGTGGCACATCCACCAGGAGGCAGTGGGCTTGCTCTGATAAGAGGAGCAAAGACCTGCTGATCTTCAATATCTTGTGGGGGATTATCTTGTTAAATCCTTGTGTCAGGCATATAATAACAGTTTTCTCTGTTTGGAAGGGCTGTTAAACCTGCTGGTGGAGTAGATGTGGGGCCTGTGGGAAGACATCTTTGTTTCTACCCCTATCTTACTCCTTATCTTGTCTTCTCATAGTGGAGAATGAAGCTCACTGCGACTTTGTGAAGCTGCGAGAGATGCTGATCCGTGTGAACATGGAAGACCTTCGTGAACAGACCCACACACGCCACTACGAGCTGTACCGGCGGTGTAAGCTGGAGGAGATGGGTTTCAAGGACACCGATCCAGACAGCAAACCCTTCAGGTGGGATCCCTGGAGTAGACAGGGGAGCTCAAGGGAGGTATTGGTGGATGCACTGTCTGTATATGGGTATGCATGCATCCTTGAGAGAGCATGTAAAGAGCCAATGTGGCAAGAAAACCTGCCAGGTCAGATAAATCCAGTGGTTTTCATGATGAGGGCCTGATCTGAGAGGCTCAGGGGAAGCAGAATTTGTCCCCACTCATGTCATTGGACTTTCCTTTTTCTTTAGCTTACAAGAAACTTACGAGGCGAAAAGAAATGAGTTCCTGGGGGAACTGCAGAAAAAGGAAGAGGCAATGAGGCAAATGTTTGTCCAGAGAGTCAAGGAAAAAGAAGCGGAGCTGAAGGAGGCTGAAAAAGAGGTGAAGACTACAGTACTTGTCTCTTGGTGGTTGTGGTGATAGATCTACTCCCAAGTGGGCAGCTGCTGCCAGAGCACCTTGTGCGGTGTAGTTTAGGACTTTATCAAAAAGTCTGAAGTTTAACTTGGGATCATGGGGACATGAAGGTGTTCATCCTGTAGTGCTCACCTCTCCCCTTTTCCCTCTAGCTGCATGAAAAGTTTGATCGTCTGAAGAAGTTACATCAGGATGAAAAAAAGAAGCTAGAGGATAAGAAGAAATCTTTGGATGATGAAGTAAATGCATTTAAACAAAGGAAGACAGCAGCTGAATTGCTCCAATCTCAGGCTCAGCAGGCTGGAGGATCGCAAACTCTTAAAAGAGATAAGGAAAGAAAAAAGTAAGTTGCTAACCTGGTGGTATTTGCTTTGCAGTAATGGTTCTCTCTTCATGTTTTCCTGGGTATTGATAGCTCTTTTCCAGTTTACCCAGTCCTTATCAGGGGAAGGCTTGCAGACAGATGTAATCTTTAGTAAGCTTGAGCAGTAGCTGGAAGCATTTTACCTCTGTAACCCTCAGGAGCAGCGAGCGCAGTACTCACCTCCCTCTCTGCTTGCTGAAAGCATGGGAGAGGATGAGCTTGTTTCCATTTACTGGGATTCCCTGCTCTTCCCTTAGTCTTCCAGTGCCTGTGATGAAGTGGAACAAAACCGGCTGCCAAGGTTAGGGTGTGGTTAACGGGGATGTCCTGCCACCCCCAGAGAGGAGTGTGTCCTGTCCCAGGGTCTTGATTAGGTTTGGGAAAAGTTTATGCAGTGGAGATTATTCAGGGAGCCAAATAGTCTGGAATTCTTGAATCTGCAAAACGTAAGACTGCAAAAGTGTTAGTACTCTCCCTAGCCCTAAATCAACTTTTTGCCCTCCACAGAAAGAGTGAGAAGTAATTTATGGATTTAGAAAGGTTCCTCATGCTGGGGACTGGTGCAACAGGATTCAGCCTCTGCTCACAGTCCCGTTGTCTGGGCTCTGAGCAGTGCCCATCCCAGGCTCTTAATGTTCTGCAATTCCTCAAGAGCAGCCCAGCTGTACAGCTGAAACAGTTTTCCTGTTCCACCTAGCAATGGAGTTCCTAGCGAAAAGGAGTTCCTTTTCTTCTCACTGTGGTACATTATCCAAAGTGGGGGGCTGTGCCACCTTAGCATGTGTACAAAGAGCAGTGTGCGGATAAACAAGTGTCTGTTTTTTACATCACTGCCATATAATCCCCTCTCTGCACATCCCTGAAGCAAACCCAGAGAATTTTGCCTGCACGATGCAGTTTTAAGTACATGGAGAAATGCTGTTAATACGAAGAATATGGCACATGCCCAGATAGCTGACAGGGCTGCTTGTCAGGAAAAATAGTCCTTGACTGTTAAACTTGGAATCAAATGAGACAGGAGGGGAAAAACCCAATAACCAGAATCAGATCCTATTTTAGTCTTTTTCGTTTTGAGCTGGAACTGCTTCAATGTCAACATTCTTGTGCGATGAGCAATTAGTGCTCCTGCCCTTCTCTCGGTTGTCCGTTCCTTTTTCCACTGCCTATTTTGATTTGCCCTTTTGAATTACCTTCAGGGAGTTTTAATATCTTTGCAAACTGAGGAGCCCGAGACTGACTGGGGACAGCCTGGACTATGTGAGGAATACACAACTAAGTTCTTTTCATGCTCAGAGCCCTCAGTTGTCTGCACACTGAGGACTGCAGACTTGTGCCGTGAGATTAGTCTGGGTGAGGAATGCCGAAAAGGGGACAACGTGCCTGGTAGTATCAGCAAGTAGTAGCTGTGGCCAGGTTAGCCAGGTTACACACTTGTTCCTTGAAAGCAGTTCTGATCTCAGAATCATCCCTGACACCAGGCATATCCATACAAATACACATTGGTACTGCCCTTGTTGGTTAAGCCTGAGGCATAGTAAACTGCGAAAGCAGTGGGACAGTGTTTGCTTCAGGCTTGGGGAGGTAGTATGAGGCCTCTCTCCTCCAGGAAAACAGCTGTGTTAAAAATAGTGATGTTTTCTTTGCTCTAACTTCTCCAGTTGTCCTTAATGATTCATTTCAGTATTTATTTCATTCATAAATCTCTATAACAATCCCTGAATTTCACAAGCCAGTAGCTTAATCGTGTCTTGTTTAATAATAACTGTCAGTCCACTAGCCTTTTTCTTTCACAGAGACTTCTTTAAGCCCAAACTCGATAATTTGTACTAATTGTGACTTGGTTTCTTTTTTTTTTTTTTCTTTCTATTGTTGCATCATCATCACCATTATTAGTTCTTACATGTATGCTGTTTTACAGTTAACTGCTCTTGGCTGCATGGTGCATGAGGCACATTGTCCTGGTAAGCGTCATTAACTAATATAGACCTCACAGTGGGATTAGTTACAGTTCCTAAAAAAGCAGACCCTGTGCAAGTCCAGAAGCCTAAAAATATTATCGTCCCTGTTTTCCTCTGCTTTCACCCTTGTTGTATATGCCTTAACAGACTCTCTGTATGCAGTTGTAGAAAAAGGAAGCATTGAAGCCAATCATTAAAAATTCCACAAAGTAAAATACAGGGAGATTCAGTATTTGGACATTAAATGTGGGAAAATAAGGATTAGATCCTCTTCCTTTTAAATGTTTCCAGCACTTTGCTGGCTTTGTCTTTATTCTAGCTCCCCTAGAAATAAATGATATTCTTTAATCACGTAGGCCGTGTCGATACCATGGCAATAGTTGCTATGGAGAAGTGGTGATGACAGAACCAAGCTAGCCTTGAAAATGTCTCTTCCCTTTCTTCTCCATCCCTCCCACCCCTGCAAGGTGCAGGGTTCGCTTGTGGTTACAGTGCAGGTGAAGAAGGATGCGAGACTGGTTTCAACATCCCCCCCCCCCAACAGATGGTAAAATCTGTCCAAACCAGAGCTTTCATTTGTCCTAACGCACCAGAGAAACACAGAAAGAAGTGTGAGTGTGTGTGTGTGTGTGAGTGTGTTCAAGGAACTACTGCTAAATAACCAGAGAAATAGTAGAAAAGAATAGAAAATAGAATAGTAGAAATAATAGAAAATAATCTGCTGGCTTATTACAGTTGTTTGTCCAGAATCACGAGAGATACTGAGCATTTACCAAATAACGAGGGCTCTGAATATAGCCAGAGAGACTTTATGACATTTTTAATAGTCCGGTGGGGTACCCCACGGACAGATACTGAGTTGTAGGAGGCGGGTGCAGACACACATCTGGGAGCCAGGCGCAGTGTGCCCAGTTGGGTATGACTAGTGACAGAAGAAGGCTGTGCTCAAGATGCATCCAGAAAGCCTGCCAGAGCACTTTGCCTCACATTAATGGCAGCATCCGAGTCTCTGAGGAGTTTTGGCAAGGCTCAGGGAGTTCCTGCTGGAGCAGAGCCCTGCCAGTGGTGTCATGCTGTGAGCCTGTCCAGAGTGTCTCTGCCTTGATGTGAGCAAGGTGGCTACGTCGTCATGGACAGGCTTGTGGAACAGATAAGGATGTCCAGAAGGTTTACCAAACGTCACCAAAAGCAGGAGTCTGCAGAGTGAAGTGCCAACAACTATTGTAAAATGAAAGCTAATTTAAACCCAGCTGTGTAAGAAATGCACCTGCCTGGCAGCGGATCCTTATTAGGGTTACTAGCTAAACTGCTAATGGCAGTGGGCTACTTATAGCTGGGCTGAGCGTGTTTAAATGAGCCTTTTTATTTTGTTGCTGATTCTCTGGTGAGAGGAAGAGGAAAGCTCTTAGGGAATTGTCTTGCTTCTTGACTGAGCAGCAATGCCAAGGTGAAGGCGACAGCACCCCTAGTGTGAGACACACTTCCCTGAGAAGAAACGTGTTGGAACAGCAGCATTTAAAGTATAAAACCCTAAAATCTCAGCCTCTAGGCCACCTTCCCTGCAGACAAACCTGGGCCGGTTTTACATTCTCTGCTGGATGCAGTCCAAAATAACTTAGGGTCTGCCCTTACATAAAGAAAAGCTGATTCCAGGATTTCTTCCCTCTTGTCTCCACCAAGAGAAGTGGAATAGCACCTAAACATCACGCTGTCACTGAGAGGCATTCGAGTTTAATTTCAATGGGATGTTCCACTTAACAGAAGAGCTTCAGAAGGGTCTTGCACTGACTCAAACTGGAGCTCGCAGTTGTCTTGAGCGGTCTGGTAGAATGAATGCCTCTGCTGCCAGCAGTAACTGTAACACAATGAAAAGAACAATTCCCTGCTTTTCAGGGTACGAATGTTGAAAAATAAGCTCAAAGAATAACAGTGTTCATTACTGGTGCTGAGTACGGAGGCACGGCTAAAGTGCAGTTAGAGTGAACATTACTGATTTTTGTTGGGTTTGGATTGCTCTTGGCAGGCGGTGTAACTGTACACTGTTGTGTGCTGGGCTGTGAATCAAATGAAGTTCTTTGTTTCCACTACACAAATGCAGGCAGTGCCTTTTTCAATGGGCATTTGTCCTTGCTAAATTAAATATGTATATATGGTACTTTTCCAGAATTCAAAAAAATAGTCTCAATATTGATCCAGTAAGTATTGCAGGGCTCCACTGTTTTGCAAGGATACAAACAAGCCACAGTTGATGAGCCTTGCAGCTTGCAAAACTGTGATAGGATTGTTGTAGAAAAGAAATGTTTCATCCCACTGCTGAGTATGTGTGTGTGTATGCATGTGTGTGTGCATAAAGCATGTTTTGTAGTCAAATTAAACTGTATTAACACTTAGCAACATTTCTTTGTGTGTGTGTGTGTGTTAGGAAACATATTTATATTCTTATTTTATTTTTTAATTTTGTCATTAATCCATAAAGCCATTAATCTGCCTTTTTCTTTCATTTTCAGTTCGGGTTTCCTGTAGAACCTTTCCCTTCACACCAGAAGCGAATGCCCCCACATTCGGTTAACACGCAGCTATGCCACTGTGCCTGTTTGCTCACCTTTACTCATTGCTCCCTTACTGTGCTCACCATTTTGTTTTAAGCGACAGTCCGCACCCTTGGCTGTTCTGGGTTATGGTTGTTTTTTGTGAAAAAAATCAGCAACAGCCTACGTGGAACTGGCAAGAGATGCTCGGGGCTGATACCTCTTCCCCTTTTGGTCAATAGCAGGCTGCCAAGCGCTTGTAGGACTAGCGTCCCCACTGCTCAGTCATTCAGCTTTTTGCCTGTCCCCTCCACTTTGTGCGAGGGCTGCATGGTGACAGCGCGGCTGCTTGGCGGCGTGCATTTCGTGCCTGTCGTGGGACTGCTGTGAATGCAACCCAGCGCTGCAGCGTGCTGGTCTCAAGAGACTGGCTGCCCCCTCCCCTTTTTAATTTGTTGCGTCTAACCCATCATTACCCCACTGTGCTGTCATGCGCGACTCAAATCATTTTAAAGGACTTTTTGCAAGACTTGACATCCCCACAGGCATGAGGGCTTGAATCCAAACCTCAAATCCCCAGGCTTGGGGGATTTTCAAACTTGGATCCATGGTTTGCAACTGAGTGTTCTCTGAATGCTGCAGGGGTCACGAAGGATCTCTTGCCTTGTCGCCCTCTCAGTGTGCTGGGCTGGATGCACTTCCTGGATCCAATCTCAGGGAAAGCTGGTCACCTTGCTGTACATATCAGTGTTTGTGAAGAAAGACGATGATGTTTCTTTGACTTTCTTCTCAGTGATTCCAACAATTTCTGATTTTAATGCAAAAAGTGTTATCTTTATTTTTTTTATTTGTCATCTGTCCAGAAGTGTACAGATGTTGACAGGTTGCCTCTTATATATTTTTTTTTATTACTCAGCAAAAGCCTTGTTTTAATGCAAGATGTGAACTAAAAAGGGAGGTGTTTTGCTCATTGGGGCCAGGAGTTCACTGAGTGGCCAAGTGCCAACTGTGGTTTGCCTGCAGGTATCTTCTCTGTGTATTTCTGGATGATTTTGTGGTTTTTGTTTTTATTTTTATGCCTTTTTTTTTTTTTAATAAAGTCTTCGTCAGACAGTGAATTCTGGTTAACATTTACTTCTTTTTTTTTTTTTTTTTGTTTTCTTTGCCCTTCTTTTACAGTAACCCATGGCTCTGTACTGAGTAATTATCCCTGAATACAATGGGCTGGAATGGACCTTCATTTACTTGTTAAATCACAGGGTCTAATAAAACGTGACAGCATTTCAGCTGTGACCTTTCCATGGTGTTACTCTTGCTCTCTCCTATATCCTCATTGTGAACCTGACTTTACTATGTACTGGTGATTATTGCTTTTATTAAACAATGTAAAATGAGTCCTAACAAGCTTTTGGACACTGCAACTTTAAATCTTAATTTTTTTTTTCCATGCAGTTAATAGATTCCCCTTTCTCCTGGTCCCTCTCCACCCAGATAATGTGGAAATAAGTTCTGTGAGTTATTTTTGCTGGCAAAATAACAATGCAGTTTAAATGTATTTATTGGTGACTTTAAGGTGAGAACAGCACCTTAGTTAAATTATCACATAGTCGAGAGATTTAAAACTCTTTTCTTTTCATACTCGGTGTCATTTTCGTGACATCACCTATCTCTCTTAATTTGCTTTTATTTTTTCTTTTGCTAATTCATGCTACCTAAAGACTAGCATTTAATACTCATTTCCATTTCAGACTTGCTTGTTGTGACCCTGATCCTTCAGTCACACTGCGTACAGGCACTGTCCGCAGGCAGGATGAACCCGTGTGTCCTGACCCTGCTAAAAGATCAGGCTGTGTACTAGCAAATAGTTCCAACAAAAACCCTTTAAACCCCAGGTTTTTGGATGATAAGCACACCTCAGAGCTTGCCAGGATAAGTAATACCATTTGTAGTGCAAACTGCTGCTGACAGTTGTACTAGGGAGGTGTTAGGGATGGTGCTAAAACCTCACGAGCAGTTCTTCCATTCCCATTAGTCTTGCTGGCTTGCACCAAACTGCAGCCTGGCCTCTCCCAGCAATCAAGGCAGCTAAAACTCTCGATTGCAGTGTATTTTCTCAGGAATTGTTTCAATATAAATAGGGTTTTATTTCCTGAAAAGTTCTTTGGTTCTTTTTTTTTAAAGCAAATTAAAATAATTGGAGTTTTTACTTCTTCCATTACTGTTGAGTGCCTGCTCCCAAAACCAGTCAGCATCATTATGTCAGTTTTTTTTGGGACATCTGATAAAAGAAGCATTTAATGTAGATTATTTATTTTAACAGCATGCCACAGATCAACCACTGGTTGTTCTTCCTGGTTATTTGCCTTATTAGAATGTAATTAAAAGTTTTATAAATGAAAAAATGTTTTTATTTGTGTAATTTCCTTTAAGTGTCAGAGGTGCCACGAGATACAAAACCTCACAGAAAGAGGTTCCATCTCCTCTCAGCTGTTTTCACATTGCATCTCTTTTCCTTGCTTTTTGAATGTCTTTCTCTTTTTTGCTAATCTTCTGTTTTTTTCTCTTTTTTCCCTCCCTCTCTCTCTCTAGCTTTTTTTAATCTGTCTTCGCCAGCTGCACGGGGTCTGAGGGAGAAGACTGCCACTTCTAGAAGAGGTTAGGGATCCTATGTCTGGGGAGGGGGGCGCAAACCTTCAGTGTTAGTGTCTGGGGAAGAAGCTCTTGTGCTGACTTGCATGGTCTCTAAAATCAAGGTGTCTTGTGATTTGTGTGACAAGACAGCGGGGGGCTGCTGGTTTCCTGGAAGAGAAACACAAATGCGATGGTGTTTGGACTAATTATGTAGCGAATACATTTTCAAACATTGTTACGAGCTTTTTTTTTTCTAATTTTGTCTTTAATAATATAAATGTCGCGGGCTTCCACGGGGTTTGAAGCCTTTCGGTATTTCCAATCTGCTGTTGCTCGATTTGATTCTGGGAAACCGCGCGAAGACAAACAGAAGCGCGGCGCAATTTGCGATGTCGGCAGCCACGAAGTCTTTAATTCTAACGCCAATAAAGTGAAGAACTGCGTGTTTTCAGCGCTGTCCTGCTGCGTCTCGCACCCCCGCGGCACCGCGCCGCCATTTTGTGGCGAGCGGAACCTCCTGAGGCGCGGCGGCGGGGCGCCTGCGCACTTTGCGTAGTCCGCCGCGCGCTTTGCGTACCTCCGCGCTCCCGGCGTGGCCGCTGCGCTCCCTGCGTAAGCCGCCGGGCGGCGCCGTTCCGTGCCGGGACCGGGGCGGGCGGTGGAGTCTCGCGGCTTCTCGCGAGGATGTGACGCGCGGCCACGTGACGCGGCGGTAACCGGGGGGCCCCCGCGCGGCGCGAGCGCGGCCGGAGCCGGCGAGGGGGAGGGGGAGGGGCGGGGCCGGGGCCGCACCGGGCCGGGGGTGAGGGGGGGGAGCGCGGGGCCGGGGCCGCACCGGGGCCGTACCGGGACCCCCCGGAGCCCCGCAGCCGGGCCCGGCCCGTGCCGCACGTGGGGCCCGGGCCCGCCCGGTGCCCCGGAGCGCCTCTGGGCCGCGCCCATGCCCGGCGATTGGGCGGCCGAGGCCTCCGGTTCGATGCCGTCGCCGCCGGTAGCGGAGGAGGTGCCCGAGGCGGTGCTGGAGCAGTGGCGGCAGTACCACGAGAGCGAGCGGCAATGGGCGCTGCGCCGCCGCTTCATCCTCCGCCACCTCCGCGGGTACCCCGGGGCCGCCATCGACCAGCTGCTGGCGCTGTCCGTGCTCTGGGCCAACCACGTCTTCATGGGATGCAGGTCGGTGGGGCCGGGGGGGCCTGAGGGGATGGGGAGGGGGGCTGAGGTGAAGGGAGGGGGTCCTGAGGTGGGGGGGGGTCCGTGAGGTAATGAGGGGCCTCTGAGGTGGAAGGAGGGGGCTGAGGTGAAGGGGGGGGGTCCTGAGGTAATGGGGGGTTGCTGTGAGGTGTGTGGGACTCCTGAGGTGGAGGCGGGGGTCCTGAGGTAACGGGGGGGGGGCTGCTGAGGTAAAGGGGAAGGTTCTGAGGGGAAGGAGGGATATGAGGTGTTTGGGACCTCTGAGGTGGAGCTGGGGGGAGCCCTGAGGTGAACTTGGGGGTCCCTGAGGTGATGGGCCCCTGAGGTAAGGGGGGCACTGAGGTGAGGGGGTCCCTGAGGCAACGGCTCCCCGAGGAGTCCCGTGGCCGTGCCCTGGCTGTGACAGGCCCCAGCCCTGCTGTCAGGCCCGTCCCGGCCCCCTGAGCACAGCCCCGGGGGCTTTGGAGAGGACCTGGGGCAGGGAGAGGACATGGGGAGCAGCAGAGGAGGAGCAGGGCACTAGGAAAGCGCAGATATATTTTGTGTTTTGGAAGTAGGTGTTGGTGTTGTGCTCCTGAGGGCTTTTGAAGCACGTGGCAGGGTGCCTTGTGGCTTAATTGAGAAGAAAGCGTCCCTGCAAGCGTAAAGCAGCCCTTACCACCCGCTTAGCGCCCAGTTTGGTGCTCTCTGAGAGGAACAGGCCCAGCAAGTGGAAGAGGTTTCCCACCTTCACCAGCATCGCTGTTGAGGTGCAGAAACAACCAGACAGGCTCTGGGGTTGCCAGAAAGCTCACACATCCCGCCTGGCACTTCTGGTGCTGGGGCTGGTGTCCTGCTGGACACGAGGCAGGAGGGACAGCTTCATAACTGCAGTTAATTGTGCAGCGACAGGAGAGGGACCTGTGAGCACTGAAGGGCACAAAGCTTTACTTCTGTTAACGTTACTATCCCAGGGTCTTGTTGGGCAATGCATCGTCCACAGAGATCCAAGCTGACTTCTCTAAGTCTTCTCCTTTTACTCTGTGATCCAAGTACTAAACCATGCTGCTCCGTGAGCATTAAAGTTGACCTTAGTGTTAAAGTAGTATCAAGTTCTAAAAACTTTAGATTATTCAGATTGAGGGTATCGTTTTCAGACATGGTTTGCTTGGTCTGTGTGTAAGTTTTTATGCTCTCTTAGTGGAGGGCCTTCTTTGTGATGGTGCTTTTGGGAACAGCACTGCTGCAATGTGGACACAGGGAAGTGAAGGGCTATATGGCAAGACCTCAAAACATGAAAAATGACCCAAGTTACGCCTGTGAGTGCGCATACTTTCCCTGATGAGCCTCTTTAGCAGCAGCTCTCAGGGGAGACACAAGCAATAGGTTTACGCACGCTGTGCAGAGTTGATATCAGTAAGGAGATTTCCCCAAGCTTGTGTTGTACACAAACCTGCATGGGCCCAGCGAGCACAGCGCTGCCAGGGAGCAGGTGGGAGCTTTATGCAGAGCTGCTCTGTAAAGTGAATAACTTGAAGGCTGGGAGAGTTTTGTTGTTTTCTCTTTTAAATCTTTTTTTGTATGTGTGTGTGTGTTTGTTTTTTTTATCGTTGGTCGCATGACAGCTGAAGACCACCTGCTTGTCAGAGTTAACACAAATCAGAGTCTTTGCTGATGAAACCTGAGGGAGTGTTCTGTTGGAGGATTGTCTGGAGGACGTCCAGAGGCCTTAGAAAATGTGGTCTGTAGGGAAGCAGTTAAATAACAGCGTGCATTTATCTTAGAGCTTGCTGGGGAAGGTGAATATGTTCTCGGATGTGTTAGAGGTAGCTGTACCATGGGGGAAATAACCCGTTATGCTGGGATCAGGACAGGGGGTAGCAAACTTAAACCAAAGCGGGCAGACTTCAGTTAGGCATCGGAGGCACGGCATTCCTCTGCCTCCATGTGCAGCCTGCACGAGGTGAGATTGCAGCAGCCAGGTTAGGTGAACACGTGCTGGGACAGGTCTGCTCTTCCTCTGGCAGAAATCTGAGCCCCGGTGCTTACAGCTGGTTCAGTGGTGGTGTCGCTGGCTGCTGTCTCTTGAAGATGAGCTGCTCATGGAGCAGGTGCACGGTTGCCTTTTCTCCTTTCTGAGCCCCAGCGCAAAGCTGTCTGAGTCTAGTTTTGTGCCATGTTTGTAAGCTTGCATCAGTTAGAAAGTGTTTGTTTTTTTTTTTAATGCTCAGCTTTAGCCTTGCAAATGGTTTGAAAATGTGACAGGTCTTAGAAGTAATGGGACACTCAGAGGGTCGGGGATGTCCAGCCGAGCAGGATGTTTCACAGTGCACGTCCTGCCTCCACGAAGCTGCAGCGGGGTGCGGGCTTTGCAGAGCTTGTGGCGGCCGCCTCGCCTCTTTCATGGCTCAGGGATTGAAAACTTTTCATGGACAGCTCCCAAGCTAAAACCGAGTACAGCTTTTTAGAGAGTGGCTGATAAAGGCAGAGGAGTGCCTTTGTCACCTGACAGCCGTGACTTCAGGATTGGTGACGTGCAGGCTGCGGCTGTTGACCTGGGCAGGAACCTCAGTGCTTGGCTCACTCACTGCCTGCTGAGACGCCACCACCTCCATCCCCCTCAGTGATCCTCGCAGCCTTGCCAAGTGCTGCATTTAGGCAGATAATGCATATATGTTAAAGTTTTAAACCCCCTGGGTTGGGTGGCTGCTCTGCTTGTTATTCACAGATGGGTTCACCAGGGACCAGGCAACTTGCTCGCAGCTCTCCTGCCCCAGCCTCGCTGTGCTGGTGTCAGGCTTTGGTCAGTGCTCAGGTCCTTTGCTAGTACTGGAACAGGGAGAGGGGCTCTGTAGGACCACGTTCAGTGTCTCAGACAGCTGTAGTTTTTTTTTTTTTTTTTCCACAATAAAAGGTCCTGCTTATCATGCAGGCTGTTTTTAAAAGACATGTTTTTATTCTGGCTGACCTGTCTGCCTGGGGTGAGTGCTGGGACCCTCACTGACACAAAGACTCGGGGTGATTTAGGCTCGGGAGCAGGTGCAGGAGGGCTCGGTTTGAGGCCGGGTGCCCCCGCGGGAGCAGTTGTAACGCGCTGTGCTGTTGGATCCATGCAGATACGGCTCGCAGGTGATGGAGAAGGTTCTCAAGATGGCCGAAGGCATCGACATCGGGGAGATGCGGACATTCGAGCTCGTCCCTTGCAGGAAGCTGAAGAGGCAGCTCTCTCCTCCCGACAGTGAGTACCTTGTCCCTGTCCCTACTCGGGTGTGCAGACAGTGGGGTGGGGTGGGCCCATAGCAAGCAGGAGAGGGACTGGGCTGGCTTCTGTTGGACTGCAGCCGTTTCCCTTCTTTGCCATGTCACAGGGTGTAATTCACGCAGAGGTCTCATTTTGCTTAGGGAATTTTTATTGAAATTGCCATATAATAGATTTTTGCTAATGATAGCGTTAGGGAGTTGGATCTGTCATTAACTAGCTCTGATTGTCCTTTGCTGTAGTGAGGGGTGGTGTTGTCACCTGAGACGGGGTTGTACGTGTGCGTGGAGGTGTGGGATTCAGCTTTCTGGGTTTGAGGGAGGGCCTGCCTAGAGCCTGGCT